TGGTTGTTTCACATGAAATGCTGCGTGAAGTGTCTTCGACTAATATGGTATAGTAATTTCTTGAAACTTTTTTCTGAAATTAAATTTATAAATGTAAATATAAAATAAGAACTGTTACCGTTGAGTAGATGAAAGATGACAATAACGTTGATGGGTGAAAATTTTGAAATTTAGTTTATTAAAATCTAAATGAGTTGAAATTGATTTTCAGTATTTTTTTTTTGTCAACGAAATAGATCTAATGATACATAGTACAAAAAGTATAGAATTGTAGACAAATAAGTTAAAAAATAAAGAAATTGAAATTGTCAGGTAAGCTAACGGCTCAATTTATTTAGAAAAAGAAATAGATGAAACGAACATAGCGTGCTTCTCATTATCCCTATGTAGCTAAATACCTAAAGATTTGCTACGTTATTAGATTTTAAAATATACCTAAATTTACGAATATAAATTAAATTAGATTTATTCACTTAATATATCAACCGATGTTCAGCATGTTAAATATAGAATTGTTTTATATATGTGTGAATATATTTTGGAACTTTTACAAACGTACTTGACGACACTGGTACATATAAAGATTGCAATACAAATGTTATTATATATCTTGTACATTGTTATAAGCTTCTGTGGCAATGCACTACGATCAAAGACATTTACTGAAAGTAGGTTCTGGCTAATCGAATATTGTTAGCTTACATATGAAGAGTGCGTTGCTGCGTAGAATTTCCGAAATAATCTCCGACAACAATGCATCAGTGCAACGTCCGCCGGCGTGATCGCGGCGCGACGTCGTTGCTGTTGCATGAGTCATACGCTTTCGGAGGAGGATCGACCGCCGCCGCTACCACCACCACCACAATCATTGGTCCGCCTGATGTATACATCGCATTCAGGGGGTTTCTCAGTGCGTATGTGTCCGTGCTGTTTTTCAATTGCGTCTTGAATACAAGCGCTTCGCATTGCGCTATTGATTAATTTCTTGGCGACGCAATAGATAGGCGCGGACGCATGTATTGCGATCCACGTTGTGGAGAAAAGGAAACAACAAAGTAAAAGTTGGCCGGATGCGTCGATTACGTAATTGGTGTCGTCGTTGGCTTTATGAAATATAGACGCTCGAGTGTATAGACGACTTGTTTATCAATGCCGATAGAGAGCCGAGTAGAATTTTTTATAATTATGTTTAGTTGCACAAAGTATCGTTATAGCCATCTCGCATATCGATCGACGACTCTCGTTGCGCATTCAACGCACCTAATATCAAGATATTCCTTATCTCGCTGTCTCTCGCAGACATGCACGCTTTGGATAGCAGAAGAAATTGATAAAGGAAACGATTAGTTGGCTAAATGAGTAAGAGCGGGGCGCTTGTCGGGTCGCGAGTATCAGAGCTCTCAATCTCTCTCTCTCTCTCTCGGTGTTTCGTTTGGTACGAAGAACATCGATTGTAATAAAGTGAAACAAGCCACGCGGATAAAACGCCGTCAGACTTTATAGCATCATCAAACATAAATTATTACCGACGAGACTGCAACGTGCACTCGCGTATCTTCACGCTGACGCGACAATTAAAACAAAAGAAAAAATAAAAATCGTGGGCTTTTGGCCTTGCGCCCAACTCAAATGAAGATTCTTTTACATCTGCATGCTGGAATTCGCCAGCATTGTTTTCCCTGTTTTACGCGACAGACGCGCAAACACTGGCGTCACGTGCTTATAATTGCGAAATCCTGAAATTCCACGATAGTCGCGATACCAGCGCCGCCGACCACGACGATAATAATTACGGTCATTACGGAACTGTTTGCCGCCGTGCGCACGCGACACAAGACTTTACGAATCGATGCTCTTCTTTTACTGCCAGTGCGACGGCTAGCACGTACAACATCGTTTCGCGCGTACAATATACGTGGCAATGTCTGTTCGAATAAGCGCGGGCACAACCGATAAACCGTGTGCGCGTACGAAAAAAAAGAAGACGAATCAGAGCTCGAGACTCACTCGCGTGGGAAGGGGCGATGCTTATCTTTCGCGCGCGTCCGCTGCACAGATGCGCGCACACGCGCGCTGCACGAAAAAACAAAGAGCCGCTTCGCCCTCCTCGCCTAGACAGGAAGTCGAGTGCTGACTGAAGAAGGGCTGACTGACGCCAGACGGAAAAAGCGCATGAAAAACTTGTGGGTGCAAACAGTCTTCTCGTTGCATGCCAGTTTAAGAACTTTGAACGTTTGCGAAAAACTATGACTAGCTGACCGATCGATTCTTTTCTATATCTCGCATTCGTCCGTACTCTCAACATTCGGGCCGCTGTTCAAATGCACACGAGGCGTAGCGCGCAGCTTTTTGCGCTCGGCCCGCTGTTGTCTCCGTGTGGCGTTTACGCGCTTTACGCGAGCACGCGGCGCTCGTCTCATTTCTGGACGTGATGTAAGACGTTTACGAGCTGCAGCGAATGTCCCCGTTGGTCCAAAGATCACTTGCAACTCGTGCATCGATGATGGACCGGTTGTTTTCTTTGCACATTGCCAATTCAGCGGCGCCTGCATGAGAACGCTACTTTTTCTTGCACAAACCGCTGAATGAAAATGTCCCTTCGCGCGTCTCTCGCTGTCGACGAATCCGCGCGGCGAATCCCACGCGCGAGAGAGAGAGAGAAAGTGGGAGGGGGAGGGCACCGCTGTCTCTTAGCAGTAAAGAGGGAAAAAAGACAACGTAAACACATATATACAAAGCTGTCGGCGCGTCGATGGTTGCTTCTTGCGTTGCCTGCACGCGCACGGCCAAGAGTCTTGTGTGCGTAAAGAGAAGCCCGGTGCGGCTCAGACACTGTTCACAGTGAAAAATCTACGCGTCGCTCGGCGTCTCGCTTGGCTGCGGCCGTAGACGCGAGCTGACGTTCCTTGCGCGCGTATTCAATTTTGTGCTGGCCGTTGTTGTTAAATTAAAATCCATCTTCAAGGCTACATCATATCATACATATACGTAATATGATTTTTTTAATGCTCTTTGAGAATATTTTTGTTTTTCTCGGTGCGTCATCTATATCTCATTTTTCGAAGTTCGTAACGTACGAAGAAAACGAGTGCGAATATGAAACCCCGCAGGTGCTGCACAAGGCTGCAGCGCCAGCTGGAGAATCAAAGCCAAATGCTCCTCTTTGGATTGTATATCTGTTGGTCGATTTGCTTTCTTTTTGCTTGTAGTTTTTTGACTTTCTTTAGAGCAGGTGTTGAGAAATCTCGTTTGCTAAAAGAAAGGTCTCGCACAGAGGAGTGTCACGATTCGTCGCTCAGACGTGATGTAATGTTTCTAATGAGATTACTGTTAAAGGTTTACCTGCGGGTAAATTGTATTTGGCCGAGTTTAATGGCGTAACAATAGAATCGTTGTTGATATACTTATTATGCTGTTTAGTTTGATGAATTTGAGCGACATGAAAAGTTTTCTGAACCGGTAGTGCGCTTATCATACGTAAATTACGATCAAACGTGTTTGTTTCGATCCAGTATTAATCGTTTGCTTGCGCCTTCAAAATCGTAATACTTTTTCCAAAAAGTAACTTAAGTTCTTCGTGAAATGACAAAAAAACAAAAGTATACAAAGGAAAAGAAATCAGCGAATAGTTTATAATAGTCTGTTCCTCTTTTTGCTTAATGTAATTGTCGAGATGCAATTTGGAGTACAAACACAAGGCATTCGAGCAATCTATTTAAAAACTCACGTACAGTCTCGCGCGAGCTTTCCTCTCTCTCTCTCTCTCTCTCTCTCTCTCTCTCTCTCTTGTGCGAGCGCGCGGAGAATTGAAAATACCTTCTATACATAAACCCGCTATACAAGCCATGCGCGCATGGGGCAGCTGCCAGAGTGTCTGCATTTTCGAAAATATCGTAAGTCCCTCGACAGCGCGAGGGTCGAGCGCTGCTTTCTTGCCAAATCTGCGTGTGCTAACTTTTAGCTTCGCGTGCCGCGGTTAGAAAGCGTACAAAATTGCGGGAAGACTACAGACCTCCACACAGCGTGCCTAGATGTGCACGTGTGCCTTAAGTACATTGTTATTTGCGCGAAGAGGAAGCAACTTAGCACACTGTGATTGTTGGCTTAACGTGTATTAGAAGCTAATTAACCACAGTGCGCGCGGCTTCGGATATCACTCGCCTTTGGCTTTCGCAGCGGTCGCGTTACGCTAGTCGTAGTAAATGCCTGGAAACTTGCCTCGTTAGTGAATTCTGAACGTATTTGAACTATCACGCTTCTCCCATTACCCCCTCAATAGTTCCTCAAACGCAGTGAAAAAATATTCGATTTTTGGTCTTGAATCACGTCGTTACGATTATAATTATCTCAGCAGCTCGCGTCAGGCGGGTGCACACAGCACATTATGAAACGTCGGCCCCGTTGTGCGCCAATTACGTTTCATTTTGTGGGCGAGCACAGATACAGGGAGGGGTCGACTTTTTCATCGTCGGACAGAATCCAAGTTAAACGTAACATCAATGCAAGCGAAAATCTACGCTGGGGCAAGCACGCGATAATATGCGGGTCCTTGCTTTTTATCCCTCCTCGCCTACGCCATCAATAATCGTTGGCGCGCTGTTGCGGCGACAACAGAAACGCTCTCTTTTTCAATTCTTCGCTTGATTCATTTCCACGTAGATTCCTTCCCCTCTTGTAAAGCTTAATGTGTAAACGGTCACGTCATTACGTCACGCGAATTCAATTAGGCGCGACACGTACATTTTGCTTGACTATCACCGCACGCGAGCAACGTGCACGTTTTCGGAATGGAACGGGAGCCTCTTTTTATCTCAAGAGTCTGGAATGCGGAGGTTTTGTTATTATAATCGGTCGATAGGTGAATTACTCTCTTAACTTTTCCCTTTGTCGAATTTTCGCGGGCCCGACTGATTTATTGACCGAGAGCAAGCAGACAGACACTGCATGAGTCAAAAATATCCAAATCAATATTCAAGGTATTTTTAGGCAACAATTATTAAGTAGGCTCGACATTCGACGACTTTGAAGAAATCTCTGATCGAGCAACACCTGTTCGCGAGACAATTGCCACAATGTGGCCTACATATATCTGCCTACGGAATAGTCGCGCAGTCATCATCGTGGTAAATAGGCCATGATAAAATGCTATACGCGATAGCACGGCGGCCAGCTCGTGCAGCGCAGGCCTATTAATTTACCATAGTGCTCGCCAGATGGCCAACCCACATGTTTCGTGTGACCTGCAAGAGAAGTTGCCAACTTCAACAGATAAGTAGCCGCAATGGGGTTGTTAACGTCATCTCTGGCTCCTCTTCAACATACGTATAAATCTTTCGCCTTTTACTAAAGATTTCCGTGGAGGGGAGCATTTGAAGAGTCTTCGACTCAATTTTTTTACGTAGCCTGACGAAAGTTAGGCTCATTATTCAAATTCAAAAAAAAGACCCTCTCTTCTCGCTTACTTTTCCTAAATCTTTAATTTCATAAATCGCTCGAGCTAGTATACTTTTTTACAGCTCTGCCAAAAATCTACGTTAGTGTCGTGTTTGAGGTATTAAATCTAATCGTCCTCCCCGAAATAGGAATCGACGTTAATTTTGCAGTTCATCTCTTCATCAGTGATTTTCAAGTTTTTTGTCAAAGTCACAAATTCATCCAACGGGCATATAGCTTTACAACCCGGAAGAGTTATTGTTGTGGTCTCTTCCGGAAGACCTCGAAAATATAAAATCTGCAAACAGAAAAAGCGCAAAGTAATTATTGAAAACAATCAGCTGCATTTAGCAGACAATACGATAACTTACTTTTACGTAATACTGTTGATTTTCACTGAGAAGCTCGAAAAGAAGAGCGCTACCAAAGTCAGGAAAGTGCAAATCATACACGCCCAATAGCTGCATAAGGCTTATTATGTTTTTGTCGTGGCCGCTGAACAGCGTCACTTTCGGGGTTTTCTTCTTGTTAGCACTCTGCAAATTTTCGGTGATTTGACGCATTAGCGTCCCTACGAATTTAACAAATTTAACAAAAGAAAAAAAATTAGGTATAGTAAGAGAAAATAAGCTGTATACCTGCTTGTAATCTCTGTAGCATCCTGTTGTAATTTCCAATTACGTAATACAGTTGTCTCAATTGAATCAATCTCTTGTCGGCTAATACGCTGAGCATCCATGCTTCCATTGTCAAGTTCATTCTATGTTCGATATCCAAATTGTTATGTAAAAGAAGAATGTCGTTGAGAGTAATGTCAGATTTCTTGCCCACGATCAGCCTTAACTCTTTGAGGTAAGTTTCGTATTCTCTGAATGTAATTTGTATTTCCGTTGAATTGTAAACCTTCTTTAATTCTTCTATGTACCTAGATTAAAACAAACGGCGTACAAATTAACAACATTATTCTAAAGTCACATACCATTCGCATCTGTCTCCGTCAAACAGTAAACTATCCTTTAATTCTTTGTATACAATCGGGATAGGTTGCCAGTCCAACTTATCGTTCCACCTGTTCGACGACAAAGACGGAGGATACAGGGCTGCTAGTACCAATTGCAATGACATCTTCGTCCTTGGCGTGTCCGAACTGATGGCATAAATATTTTCATGCCAGTATTCTGTACCCAGCAACTTCGAATAATTGTTTCGCAGTATCTGACCAAATTGATACATCCTTCGCTTTCCTGTCTGCATATGAAACATCGACTGGAACGTTAGAGAGAGAGAGAGAGCGCGCGAAAAAGAAACAAGAAGAATCGCGCGAACCTACATTTAATAGGCCACCGGAGCCCATTGGGTAGAAGGTATGGTGCATATGGGGGTCGTTGGGAAACCTCTTGGGAAAAGTTTCGGGAGCTCGATCACCGTGCCTGAATAACTGCAAGTCAATTGGTACGCCTGAATTATCAATCCCAGTCGATTTTCAGTTTGGAATATCGTATGTATTTCTTACCACGTTGAGTTGCACCACTTTTGGCTCGTTGCAGTGTGCGATGTCCGACCGAAGTATTAACAATGTGCATAATAGAGCGATATGATTTAATCGCGTCATTGTGGTGTCAGTGTCTGAAAAGTTCGAGTAAATTTTCATCTTTTGAACTGAAATTATGATTTTTTTAAAGAGTTATCAATAAAAATTGGTCATTTTGCGAAGAAACCAAATCAAAGCGTGTAAGTGAAAAACAACCGGAAAGGCTATCGTAAACCGTTGATTCATTGATCCTTCAAACGAAACGTGAACGCAGTCAATCAAACGTTTATCTCATAGCGTATAAGTATCTCATCGAAAATGCCTGCTTTAGAAAATAATTAACGTCTATCTATCAGAAATAAAAAAAGGGCGAGGTCCATCAATTTGTATGCAATCTGCAAAATGCACGGCACAAAACATACGAGGGCAGAGATAGAAGGCAAACTACCAATAATCGATTCTCTCGTGCTGCTGTTTGAGAGCAACGTGTTTCCTATAGGCATGTAGCGCGCACATTAATCCTCTTTATTCGGGGTGCGCGTTTATCAGCCTCCTCTCCCATGCATCGCGCTTTATTCGAGGTCGTTAGTTAAAAATAGGCAGAAGGATCTCGTACATACACATCCTGCCGCACCCAAAAGATATTTTCACATGTACAGATTCTCTCTCTCTCTCTCTCTCTCTCTCTCCCGCTCTCTGCGCGTCTGCGTTTCATAAATAGTCGAGGTGAAGCGAGCGCGAGAGAAAAACCACGAGCCGACAATGATGTGAACAAGAGCACCACTATATGCTCTCTTCGTCGAGTTGTTATATGGGGTTCTGTGTCAGTTAGTAGCTCTAATGTTTTTTTACATAGCTATATGCACGTGGCTACGCTCAGCGCTGTGCTCGGAATAATTCGATGCCACGAAGCTTTCTCGCATAAACGGTTAACGCTGTGTTCCCTCTTTAGACTCCTTTTTGTTGACTCTCAGCGCTTTGATAACACCGACTTGATTTCTATGCTTGTTATCGAGGTGGAAGAGCGAAGCGCTCTAAGCGATTATTGGCCCAGTAAAAATCTTCAAATTTCAGATTACGAATATATGGTCTACTTACGCAAATATAAGAAATGTGGAATTTTTCAGGATGAAATCGACGAGCACGGAAATAGCTCGAATATGCTTCACTTATTCATTTCCTTTGGCAACTCTTATTGAATGGGCATTTGCGCAAGCTAAGACTGCTACTATTCTATTATAGTGATGTCGAAGACAACTACTTTGTTACTTACGTCTTTACTGGCGAACGTCAGTGAGACGCACTGGTATTTTATCGATTTACCACGAAACGCTGATTATATCTATACATATAAATACATATGTATATAAGAACATTACGTTTTTCGTATGGACGATTGAGTAATGCCTTTCATAACTCGCAGTAGTACAAGATTTTAAATGCATTTCGATAATCGTGATGCTGATAAGATATTAGAGACCTAGCAAAGTGTTTGTTTTCCTTAGCGAGATTAATCTGGAAACTTGCCGTGTTTTGCCCATGCGATTCATCCATATTTACTTTCGATTAGCGTCTCTGTGCAAATTAGATCATTTCCGTTTTGAAAATTAAAGCCGTTGCTTAAACAAATGTGCACAAACTTAGAAGGAAAAATTTCTTTTTGCACGCGTGAAGCTTGCAACTGTAACGAAGTCAACTGCGAAATAAGTCTCAATCTACTGGCTTATCAAACAGTCCCATTTTCTCTCGTAGACGCGTAAATTCACCAATTAAAACCTGCATTTGTACCATGCTTCGAAAAAATCGCTGGATGAGTAAGCTCCGAGGCATGCGTTCAAGGGCTCCTTCAGTTCGCGTAATACGGGCGCACTCCCCCACAATTAGTGTTCATGCATATAGACGATAATACCGACTGACTGGCAAAATGGAAAAAAAGAATTTCTCAGTCGAGTACAGCTGCACTGAGATTGGACGCGACAGGTCTTCGGCACATTCTCTCGAATACGAGATGTGGGCATTCTCTTTTCGGTACATGCCGTGTGGTCGGGCAACTTTGCAATTCGTTGATTGTATTGAGGGCTTGTTCCTTTTTTTTTATTTTCCTCTCTTGTCGAACTTCGAGGTGATACGTATTCCCCGAAAGCTGTTGGTGAGATAATAAAAAAATGAAGAAAACCTCGGTTAAGAAAATCACCGTGCCGATACATGTATACATACGAACGAACGTATTATTACAGTTGCTCGACCTTTCCCACCCAAATACGCAACACATGCATAGGCCGCTTGCGTACAGATGTACGTGAGAGAGCGAGCGCTACCAACTTTGTCGAGCCTACAATACACCTGTGGATACTGAAATTCGCGGTGCCCCGTGCGGTCAATTGCGGAATACATATCTAATATTGACCTAAGAGCGTTTTCTAAAGTGATTATTGATCTTTCAATTTCTACTTTGAGTTCGTTCTACTTTTTCAACATTCAAAAGCCGGCTTTCATTACAAACTTGTTGCTGCGAATATTTCAATCCAAGTGAAAGTCCGTAATCGAGTGGGTATTTTTTACGCATTGTGAAGAAAGAATTTAAATAAAAAAGACAAAAGCGCGTATGCTCTTCATGACGTGTTATAACGATTTCACATTCAGATAAAAAGTACATATCTCTCTCTCTCTCTATCTCTCGCGTGTGAGTGATTACATACGAATTATTTACCTAGTCGCGTGTAGATGTGGTAAAATTAACTTCGCGCTTGAATGATAATTTTTTTAGTTAAGGTACGATACAAAACTTTACCTATATTGTGTATATTTCTGTCTCGTATAGATGCGCGATGGTGGAACTACCGCACACAACTAAAATTCACAAGGTAGGTAGAAGTAACCGATTTTGAATTACTTCGTTTTTATCAATCTATAGTCTTGCTTATCTCGGATACAATCTTTCCTCTCGAGGAATTATTCTACTACGTATCAGTATGGAATTCGTAAATGACTGGTATTTGTTACACTTTCATGGCAGATTGGCATTGGCAAAACTGATGTTGATAGCTCGAATTAGCGCTTGTCCGAAGTGTGAGCGAAGTGTAAAAAAATAGTAATTCGCAAATTCATATCTTTGTTCTGTTTTCTTTCATCGATTGTTTGAATTTGGTCAAGTTGATCAGAATTTGTATATCTGCGATAGCAACGATTATAATTGCATATATTTATTAAAATCGTCAAACTATCAGTTAGCTTTATTGATAATAAACACACCGTATTCAGTGGAATAATCTACAGTGAGAGTGAAAGAGAGAGAGAGAGAGAGAGAGAGAAAGATTATAATATTCCAAAATGACAAACTAACGCACCCGTTGAGAGAGCTAGCCAGCTATAACAAGTGAAATCTCTTCTGGGAGAAAATGTTGCCACATGCGTGTTTTCATTTGGCGGTGTGTGTCGCATGAAGCGAGCAGCATGCGGGCTAATCTTTTTTGTCTTTTACAGGTCTACTTGTGCTACACAGTTGCGTCCTTGATTGATCTTGCGCGTCAAAGGTCTTTTCCGCCTCTCAAAATCGATCGAGACCTTGTATAAAACCCAATGCCGTGTCGCACGCAGTACTGGATCGAATTTCAAATTCGATGCAGCGCTCACATTCTCGAATGCAGCTCGAACGTTTTAATTTTAATTACCGCTTCGCGGAATGTTAGACATCGAAGCACTACAGCGAACTTGTTGTTTCACGCGGGGAATTCCACTTGACTGTGCAAAGAAGATCTTAACCGAGAGGACTGCCGAAACACAATGTTTTTTCGCTTTCACTCTCCTTTTACTTATTTTGAGTTTGGCAAGGACTTTGAAGCGTCTTGTTCTCGATATCACACGCTTGAAGTGCAAACCTGTATGGTAATACTGGCATGTGCGTGATTCATGTACGAAATCCGATTGGCAGATTTTAAAGCCCTTAAATGGGAGCCTATTCAACAGCTGACGCATCATTGTAATAATTCCTTTTTTTCATATAACATAAACAGGTCTATAAGAGAGATGTTCGTCATTTCCAACACAACATTATCATTCCATTCTGACAACCTCAGCGGAATAATGATGATGCACTTGAAAACGTGCATCATGCATTATGATTTTCACGCTTGATTTCGTGTAAATGTGCTTTTTTGTTTTTCTTCCTGTGATGTCGACTGCATCAAAAAATTGATGACGTTAATTGTCCTGAAGTTGGCTGACGCTAATGAGCGATGCGGATATTGAGAAATAATAGAGAAATATTCAATACGTTAACACGTGATATTTTGTTGACTTGGGAATCATCACAATTTGGTACTCGAATACTTTTGTGAATAATATATCTTTGCATCCCAGCGCAGCGAATAACGCGTCAGTCAAGCGCGAAAAATGATATCACGAAAAAAAAAAAATTGGCCACAAATAATCGAAGTTCGCGAGTTTGCTTCTTTATTTCAAGCCTGACTGAGATGAAAGAAATACTTCCAGAGTATATTATTAAAATTTTTAATCGGCGAAAATAGCGCGTGTGTAATTGTCATAGACGTTTCCGCAACAGCGATGACTCATCACCGACAGCGTGATGAATTTTAAAAATCGATCTCTGCTCCGAAAACGCGTTGGTCATTGCGAACGAAAATATTCCTATATCCACAATATTAAAAAGCTCAACCCAAAGACAGAAAAGTATTCGAAAATGTCCTGTTACCGTGGGCACACATGACTCCAGTTCCGCTCCTGAGCGAATGGAAGGGGGTGCGTGTTGGCAAGCCTGCCTTTGGCTCTGCTGCGTGCCGACTGCTGCGCGAGCGCTGCCGCAAGCCCGAGCGAGCAGCTCCCATCAGTCGAGTCGGTGCTGGGCTACGGATACATTGTCGATCACCGCAACGGCTCGTCTGTAGGCTTTTGTATATTACAGAGCAAATCGTTCGTGTGTGCATTGCGCGCGCCCGTCTCGCCGTTGCTCTTCATAGTTGTGATAACAGCGTATCTCCCGACACAAGTTCTGTGCAGAATAAAGAGTGTGTCGAGTGTGCAAAGCAAGTTGGCAAAGTGTGCTTTTCGTGGACGAGGAAGAAGCGCCATTTGCGCAACAGTGTAAGTGTGTGAGAGAGACCAGTGATGCCTCCTCGCCTCCTACTCTTCTCGATTTGATTGCCAGCGTCGTCCGGTCGCGCGAGAGGTGTATCAAGGTGAGCATATACATGTATGTGCACACATGTATAACGATGACGTGCGCGCGCCTGAAAGAGAGAGAGAGAGAGATTAATTTATTTCTATCGGAAATATGGTCTGGGTCCACTCTCTCAGTCATCATCATCGTCAAAACAAAAAAAGAGTCGTGTAGAAATCTGATTTGGGGGTGTCTTGTCGACGGCAAGGCCGCACGCGAGTAACAGAGACAGACAAAATGTACGCGCGCACGGCGGAGTAGTGGCGGCACACCCATCGACGCCGCCATCCGAATGGGTAGCCAGGGGCGCGTCTCGTACCTCTCTCTCCCTCTCTCTCTTTCTCTCTGTCTCCCTTTCTCTCTGTCTCGCGCTCACTCTATCTCTCTTCCTCCCCGTCTCTCTCTCACACACTCTCTCTCTCTCTTTCTCTCTCTCGTTTTTTCGCTTTTTTCTGGGGGTGGTCTTGCTGTGCGGACAGGTAACATCGCGCACGCTTGCGGCATCGATTTTACGTCTCCGACGTCGTCGAGTATACACGCGCGCAGAATGGATAACATGTCCACAGAGTAGTCGGAAAAGAGAGAGAGAGAGAGAGAGAGAGAGAGAGAGAGAGAGAGAGAGAGAGAGGAATGCAGTTCGTAGCCTAGATTCCCCACTATAAGAGACGGACTTTCACGAGTGCTGAGGCTGCGAGCTGCTACTGCTTGCCTGCCTGCTGTTTCATGCCGTTTCGCGAGACTTTACACACACGTCGTATTGTACGTACTTAAATTCCGCCTTACCTGGCCAACTACTGCGAGGCCATAGACTTGTAGGCGCTTAACATGGTTAATATTACGATGATCGATGTATTCTAGTCCCTTCTGCAGAAAAAAGAATTAGCAGCTGTGCGTGCGTGTGTGTGCGTGCGCGCGTGTGTGTGTGTGCATGTGTATGTATGTATGTATGTATACATGTCGCTTGTTTGTTATTCTTTTTCGCCTTCGTCCAGCTGATTAGATTATTTAGTTTATGATCATTCATTATATAATTTTGATTGATGATGTAGATTGTATACTGGTACGTCATTAGTCAAAATTTAACGAGTGTGCTGCTGTTTGCATTGGTTTTATACGTACGATTTAATTGAACGCGAACATTGAGAATTGAAATTGCTGTTTCTCTATGTGTAAAAAACAAAAATCATTAACATTCTTGTAGCGTAAATAATATCGAATGAAATTGGCGCTTGCGAGAGTGTTCGAAAAGAAAAAAATGTTTTCATCTATCTCAATCGCTTCTTACAATTTGTATTCATCTTACGTTCCTTGAGAAAAAGAGAAGATTGCTCTAGAGCAACAAAACTTTTTTCAAAAACATTACCGCGCGAACTTTCTCTTCAGCCTATCACTTGACACCGGCAGTTTTATATTAAAAGAGATATATATTTTTGTGCTGGAAAATTGAACTCGCTAGAACCTGTAGGTGGCATTCTAAACATTCCAACGAATGAAAAAATCTCGCATTGAAAAGCTATAAATAAAGCGGGGAGGGAAGGGAAAACTATACTTAGCGTGCCATGAAAACGCCGCTAGTAAAAGCACATCTCTAACTTGTGGGCAGGTCGTAAATAAGAAGAGGTGCGTGTCTCGCAAACTTGAATCGCATTACAAATGTATTAGCACTCTTGATGGCATGCCCCTAAACAATCCCATGCTGTTGTTTCGTAACGATCGGTAAGTAAAAAGAGGGAAAGCCGTAAAGATGATAATCTCCGGAGTGCAGGTGCACTGGAGCGCTTTTGAGCGTGATGGACCAGGCTAAGCGCCGTAGTCGTGATTTATATTGGCGAGAAATTCCAATTGGTGTCATCGTCGCAACTTTCCACTTGACAAAGTCGGCCGCTGCGAGGTCGACAGAGATTTTTTCGTTGTATATAAAATAAGTTCGTCGAACTCGCCTGTGTCCCCCGCGTCTTTGGTATTTCCGCTCTCATGGCCTCCCGCATTGATTACGCCTTCATACGCTTACAAACTGCCAGTGTAAATACGCGGCACTTTGCGAGACAAACTTTTATTTCTTTTGGAGACAGTCCAATTTTTTATCGATGCGCTCGTAGCTTATAAAATCTAACTGACTTTTGATTTTTGATGGTGATTCTTCTTCGCATCAACCAGCGTCTGCCAAGTGACAGTGCGAAACGTTCTTTTTTTTTACAGGCGTCGACAATGAAAAAAGTTCATTTTTTACAGTCGGATGAGTTTCTCTTGTTGACACGTACATTCGCGTACTGCCAGAGAAAGTTTTTTTTCTGTAAGTGATGTGAATTTGCCATACGTTTGCATGATTTAAGCCTTTTTCTTTAAATGCTCATTCACAACGTCAATAACAAACGTGCGTGTGTATGCGTTCGAGGTTACGGTGATAAGCTTTCTGCGAGGCAGGTTGTCATTGAGTAATTTACAAACTGGAACGTCATTTATCGGAACAACCTTTCTCTTAAAAAATGAATCACTCGAAAATGAAGTCAGTAAAAGTGCATATTTTTCTTTGACACACGCTTTTATATCTAATAAATTGTACCGAGATACATACTGTCAATAATGAAGATAAGGTGCGAGATAGCAGCGAGTTGGTAATTACACGTCCATTATTTTTAATTAATCGTTTAAAAAAAGAGGAGACGTAACTTTCTCTCCCATCATATCTAATTTTTTGGGAAGTGTGTGTGTAGAAAGTATATAATCTGTGAAATAGTAAATTTCGATTCATCACTGAAAATGACGCGACTAATTATCAATTGTTTTGAAAAATGTATTCAGCCTTGAGTTGTACATTACGCGACTGAAAAATTTTTACTGACAAATAGAAAAACTACACGTTTTTGTGTTTTACGTAACGTCTAATTGTTAACAATTGTGAAATCTTGAATACGAGGTATGATATGACGTAGTATTGAATTTCGAACGGATGGCAAATACGTCTTGATATGTTTGAACAGCTTTTCCTCATTTTTGCTATCTCATTAGAATACACGTTTCCAGGTTTTCGTCATGAGTCTCGCACTCGGAATCAATCTCGCCTTCGAATGTATCCACTTGGTTTCGAATTTGTATCTCTCGAATATCTGAAAGAGTATCGTCTCTACGTGGGAAAGTCATAAAAAAATTTATTAAAAGTCGACGCTTTGCGAGGTAAAAACGTCAATATACTCTTTTTGCGTCACAGGCTGTCCTGATATTGGTGAAACACGACGAGCGTGCAATGTATAAGCGTGTTCTGGGCAAGTAGTTTGAAAAGTACAGGGCTGTAAGCTCGAATCAAGCGTTCCAATGTCAATTCAACAGTTGGAGAAAAAAGCACGTCTTTCATTGGTTTCGTAGGACACGCGCGAGGGAAGAAAAAGGCAACAATAAGGTTGAGCGACAATTGTTTATTGTTACAGATAAAAGCAAAGATGCGTCTCAGATGACTGTTGGCTTAATCGACGGCAGAGGTGGCTGATCTGAGTGCTACAACAGCGAGGCAGCAAGCATGAGCGAGCTACTGGCAATGCAGTCGTCGGGCTGCGTCAATGTGGCAGAGTCAAAGGATACCCAGGTGACCCAATTGAAACGAGCCAAGTTGAACGGCGGCGCCGGTGGCAGCAACGTGCCGCTCGTCCACGGCCGTTCAACGCAGCCGGTCAACGCTCGCAATCGCATAACTAGCCATCAGCGAAATCACAGCCTCGACTTCAGGTGATGCATATCTAGACGCCGTTGCCTTTACGTAACGCACATTCTCGCGCCCGAGATAAGGCTTCGGAAAATTTCCGCTTATCCAATCGCCAAGCAGACATGCGATGTTTACAATCGTATTCTCATAGTATCTAGAGCATCAGCATTGACCTTGCTGTTTTTTCTGGCCTTTAGGTCGATGGGCATTCTGCTACCACCGGTGCCGCAGGCTACGGTCACCACCTTCACCATGCACCATCGAAATCGAAGTCTCGACTCGGCTTTGCAAAGAATACCAGAGGTTGACGTTACGCCGAGCCCTGAGTGCGAAAATAATCCCACGCCTGCTATAAAAACTGCTTGCTCCGCTTCTCAAAATCGAAGTCGCGAGAGGGACGATTTGGCCAGCCTGGGGTCTGACGATTCGGGCATTCTTTGTGGTTCTGATAGCGGCTCTAGCGATACTGCCAATATCACCACGAGGTATTAATCTCTACAACATACTCGTTTCATGTTTCATGGACTTGTCAAGATTGTTGTTGTTTATAATGCATGTAGATGATTAAACCTTGTTTTTCTTTAAAAATGACACTTTTCTTTTCGACATTCTGCAAAGAATTGATCGTGGAAAGTTTTACACTCCCCATACATTCGTTTGATTTTTATTGTTATTGAGCGGTAAAGCCAAAGATTGTTAACAATTGTAAAAGAGATCGTATATCTCAATAGAAATACGGTCAAACGTTTACCGGCGTTTATTCGAGGGCATAATAATTGAAGACGACTTGCGAAAACGAAAAAAAAAATGTCGCTACTGGGAATCAATAGAACGAGAACGAGCGTAAGGCGGTAATCTCTCGGATTCGCAATTCATGGATTTACGAGTAGATCTTTAGCCTTGATTCAAATTATTAAAAATGATCGACTATTTCACCTATAGTATCAGAATTACGTTACGTTAGCTTTCAAAATGGAAATCTACTGCATACAGATTGTCACGTTGTTCTTTGTGTAAGAGATTTCACGAAGATAACGCACGACGTCACTGATATAATTCATTTTATTGCCTTTGAACAACAAACATATCACGTTCGATACAAAATAAAATAATACATCGTTCAATCAAAAACTCAGAATGTCGTTGACAGTCATAGATGCTAATGTTTGCATATGAAATTCCGCAGGGAATCAAGCGTCGATCACCTTCATAGTCGAGAAAGCCTGGACTCGTCGTTATCTCAGACCGGCGACGTAGACATCGATGTGGTAGACGGTGATTTGTGTAATCTGTCGATTTCTCCAGTACAACTGGACGACGAACTGACGTTGTCGAAGCAGCAGCAGCACGTATGCGACAGGCAACCCGATGCTTCAGATTTGCAGTTGAATCAGTTGGAAATAGCGACAGTGCAGCCGCGCGATTTGGCCGGTGCCGCGATGACGTTGTGTTGTGGCACAGGTCAACCTGAAATCACGCTCGAAACCAAGCTCACGGAAAAAAGGAAAGAAACTGCACAGCAGCCAAAACCCTCTGAAGGCTGCTTACTTAGGTTATTCGAGAGCCAAGTTTTCGACATGTCCATGGCTATCTCTTATCTATTTAACTCCAAGGAGCCTGGAGTTCAAAGCTATCTCGGTAAAGCTCGTCGCCAAATATACGTAATTTATTTTCTTTGGTTAGCTTAATGTGAAATTTGAAACTGCAACCCTTGATTTGCAGGTAACAAGTTATTTAGTTTTCCCAATAGCGACATCGACTTTTACCTACCACAGTTGGTTTTAATGTACATACAGTTACACGATGTTACGGAAGTTCTGTATCCATATCTCCTTCATAGGTAAATTATATTTTCTCGTCAATCAATACGATAGATAAAAGATATTTAAACGTTGCTTTCGTTGTATTTTAGGTGTAGGCATTCGGTAGATTTTTCATTAAAGTGCGCATGGTTGCTAGACGCTTACAGTTCAGATGCTCCAATGCATTCGAAAAAGAAATCCGACGGGACCAAGTTAAAGAATCTGATTCTTTCGGACGAGCTGAGGTAAGACTTAAGTTCCTCTAGCAAGTTTTATATATTTGAAGTGAAAGTACTGATTGATGAATTAATTGAAACAAAAAATGTTTAGACCAAAAGCAAAACATCATCGTCCGTCTGGATCTCAATTGTCCGCTATTCCTCCGCTCTCGTCAATTTACTCGGCAGCATCACCAATGAAGAAAACTCACCAAAGATCTCAATCTGATGCCACTGGACTCTTTCAAAGTCTACGCCGTAGCCATTCCGGTTTGACAAACAAGGTTAGCCTTGGTGACCTAGGGTCTGGTCGAGCCTTTGACAATGGATGTACCTGCTTTGATTCCTGCCAAGGAGTGGTAAATGATTTACGAGGTCAGAAGACTGACTGCGTCTGCAGTGTACGTTAAACTCTTAATTGATCAGTTAATTAACTTTCCTTGAAACTTGAATGATATTTATTTATTTATTTTTGTAGGCACCTAGGCTCGCACCAGAGCTGGAGTTCATTCGAGCGCTAATTAAGATTGGGAAGCTACTTGGGACAATCCCTACGAAAGAAGGCAAAACGGTTCAACTTGTTGCGGAGCTGAATACTTTAAACCTCAATCTACCGGCTAGAGTGTGGCTACCACTGCACGCGGCTGTGCCACATCACATTGTTCGGATACCTCCTCAATATGCGGCAGTTCTCAACAGCAAAGACAAAGTGAGTTGAATTGATATTGATAAAAATAATTATCACGTAAATGGCTGCGTGTCGTGTAAAACACTTAAATAATATATCGTTTGTAGGCTCCTTATATCCTATATGTAGAAGTTCTTGAAGTAGACGACTTGTATACATCGCCAGTGCCAACAAAAATAATCTGGAACTCTTTAAGACACACGAAATCCGAGGAAAATTTGCAGGGAGTTGAGTCTGAAGTAACAAACGATGTGCCAAGAGAAAAAAGCGAACAGCCGCAGCAGCAGCAGCAGCAGCAGCTTCAGCAATCTTCTCCGGTAGCAAAACAAACCCCAGTTCGAACAGGTTGTTCACGTAATCCTGACGTAACGTTCCACTTCATTGACGACGATCCAAACGACTGTTGGAGTCAAGAGGACGACGAGATCACGCAACAATATCTGCAATTACACAAATCTAAAGATAAGGACACAATATCGGAAATGAGCCAAGAATCTTCAGATAGTCGAGAACGAGTATTTGTTCCTGGCGACGTCAGGAGGCGAATTGTTGAGGCGGCTAATGCGCCTAAAGCCACTTGCAGACACGATCCTGAAGATCCGTCCGCTGCTGTATTGAAGGAGCCATGGGAACAGAAACAAAAGAGAATACGGAATGCAAGTCCGTATGGTCACTTAGCGTCGTGGCGCCTTCTCGCGGTTATTGTTAAGTGTGGCGATGATTTGCGACAAGAATTACTGGCGTCTCAACTTCTCATGATGCTTCAAAAAGTCTGGCAGGAGGAGCAATTACCATTGTGGCTACGCCCGTATAAGTGAGTTTCTACTGCTTATGTATATTGGTTTTGTTATATTAAGTGTGTTGTATGAATAGTAATAATGCTCGCTTTTTAAGGATTTTATGCTTGTCGAATGACAGTGGACTCATTGAACCTATACTCAATACCGTGTCGCTGCATCAACTAAAAAAACTTAACTGTCAGATGACCCTACTGCAATACTTTGAACAAGAATTCGGACCTCAGGAGTCGGAGCCCTTCCTTATCGCACAAAAAAACTTCGTACAGAGTTGCGCGGCATATTGCCTTGTCAGTTATTTAATTCAAGTTAAGGATCGACATAATGGTAATATTCTGCTGAGTAGCGAAGGTCATCTCATCCACATTGATTTCGGTTTTATGCTATCGATTTCTCCTCGAAATCTTGGCTTCGAAACCAGTCCGTTCAAACTGACACCTGAATTTGTCGAAGTAATGGGAGGCAAAAATTCGACAATGTATAAAGTATTCAAGACGCTTATTCTACAAGGATTAATAGCCTCAAGGAAACACATGGACAAAATTGTTAATCTTGTTGAAATAATGATATCAGGTAAGTTATTTAAATAATTTTATTTAACATTTATGCAGTTACAAAAATCACACGAAAAAACATATTTTTTCACCATTTATAGGAGCTCAGTTGCCATGTTTCCGAAATGGTGGTGCGTCAACCGTCCAGAGTTTTAAGAATCGATTTTGCTTGTCTTTTACTGAAGATCAGGTACGGAAACACGTGGACGACTTGGTGGAAGGAAGCTTGCGCTCATGGTCAACGAAACTCTACGATCAATACCAGTACTTCGCGAATGGCACGCTTTAAACAAATCTAAAGTAAAGAAAACAAGAACATTAATTTCGATTGTCGTCTCCGCCGATATTTCTATATGTAGAAGCAGTATCTAAATTTTATAAGCGCTTCTTTCGAAACAAAATATACTTCATAACATTCCAGAGGCGTAAAAGCTGTATTGAGTATTCAACAGTGGCTGAAGACTGAAAATATTTAGTATTTCGATATTGTTACGATTCTAGCGTCTAAAACAAAACAAAGCAACTAAATAAACAAATTTACATTTTTGGTCGAAATAATACAGAAGAAATACGTATTAATTATCGGTAAATTGAGTGATCGACGGTCAAAACCAGAAATAAAATTAACACGATCAACGGTAGTTTAAGCAAGTGTCCGTTTTTGTTACGTAGACTTTGATATGTATGAGGTTTTACGGACAAATTGAGAGATAAGAAATGTACATTATGCTACAAATTCGATACAAGTACGCGAATCAGTAGCATCGTAGTTATAAACTGCTGCTGACGGAGTAATTTGTTGAAGATGCCTTATAAATAGAAAAAAGTAAATGAAACCGATGAGACGGATAGTAGAAGTGCGATGTATTGAATCGATCGTAGTTGTACAGAGGACAATCCGTAATTTGTGTACACACGCACACACTTACTCACACACATACACACACACGCGTGCGCGCGCGCACATACATACGTATGCATGTATGTATGTATGGAGAAATTCATTAGCTTGTAGATATAAATTCGATTTAAAGTGACTCGATGAGAGTATATAAATGCGCGACAAAGTGAGAGAGAGAGAGCGAGAGGGATGAATGAATGAATAGCACAGCAACCCTTATTTACAGAGCGACGATACATGAGTCGCTGGAGGCGAATACTCAAATTATTTCCTACTTTATATATGTATAAGTAACAAAAAACAAGATGAACGTTAATTCTGCTATCTACGGGGAACGACTAATTCCAGCAGTAATAGCGGTTAACTCCACCGGATTTTTTAAATAAGCGAAGGACCGTAAGTTTTTATATGTTCTTAATAATAATACATAATTTCCATAGTCGTTATTAAATCATAGAAGCGCCAAGACACGCATCTTAGTTTGGAAAGAAAAACAAAACAGACGATTAATGAAGACGAACAAATAAGTAATAAAACCACCGGAATGCATTATCGTGTAAATTTTCGAGCGGATAAATTATGCTATTGTAAATATATTATTGAAACTCATTGTTTAGCATGTAATTGCAGCTAAATGTGCATAAAGCTTAAGCAAAGTTACGGGAGGACAAGTCCAAGTTAGCCTTGTTGTAAAAGGTGTCTTATGAAGAGCCTCGCCGTAACTTCAAGTGTCTTATCTATCTTTCTTCTGTCTTTGTTATTTCATCGATCGACAGACAGACCAGCAATGTTGTTGTAACGGCAAGTGTGTACCACTAAGGCTTCAAATAAAGAAACAAAATTAATATTTAAAATGAAACAAAACGAGGGAGACATGTTCCTATTTTTTCGTGGATAAAAAGTCTTCTCGCAACGCAAATTTTTGTCACTTCGTTATGTTTCTGGTCTGCCTTCGTTCTTTTGCCTCATTACAAGATATTAATGACATTCAATACCGAATAAATATAAATCACCAACATACTAATGACATTTCTTATTTATTCTCACAAAACAACTTTTAATCCTAACATTTGATTTTAAATCTCTCTTCATATATGCATAGAACACCAAGAATAGCGAAGTATATGTAGTAAATGAAGGAACTGATCTCCTTGATTTCATCTCAGTAAATACGATGAAAAATTAGACTCGATGGATTAGTTTAATACAACTACATTGACATGATTTCGGCTCTTACGATTGGGCTGTTCCTTTACAATAGTACATTACGATACAAGCGCGGGAAAGCAGATTCTTGTCTCGTGTGACATTTACTCCCGAGCGAAGCGAAGCAGAAAACGTGCGTTGAAAATTGCATTTTCCACATGTTATATCAAAAAATACGGTACGACACATGTTCGGGAAAAAGTTTCTCGTCTCGTGTACCTTTCCACCCTTAATTCGCTCGGGCGTAAACGCCACACGAGACAAGAATCTACTTTCCCGCACTTGTATCGTAATATACTAATTTTAGGTTTGGAGATTTGTTCACGTAACTTGACAAGTAAAAAATGATAGCCTAGTATTATTTTTGAAACATGATTTTCAAACAATTATTTTTTAAAGAAACTGATAGACCAGGTGATATATCTAGACCGAAGTACTATGATCGAAAATTGATTCATAGCACTTCGATCGCTAAAAACTATCGACTATTTTTTTTCTTTTCTGGTTGCGAGCAGTACTCACGATTAAGCATTGAAGCAAAATCGACCTATTAATTTACATTAGTTTGTATATCTATGGAAGGGTACAAGGGGCCATTAATTATTTAAAAAAACCATATACACAAATCAATTTATTGCAGTAACCTAAATTACTATGTGCAATCATATGCTAATTTAATTTGTAATTATATGATATTCCTAATTGTGTATGGTTGTAATTCTAATCAACCCTTTTCCTCCCAAATAACACAAATTTTTTCTTAACTGTCATCTTCATATCTTTTAATGAAAAAATCGTATGAAAAATTTATCAAGCATCACATCTTGTAGATTTTGACCTCCTCTTTCGAATGCCGTTGACAAAATTTACCTAAATTGTAAGCCGGAAATGTTATTGGCCGGTTTTCCAGAAAATTCACAAATTTTTCGCGTTTTTTTTTCTAAAAAAAGTATATTTTGAAATGGAAAAAGTTTGCACACACCATTGGAAACACTGTTATCGGTGTTATAGATGTCTTTTCTTTCAAATGCTGTTGGATTTTTTCCGAAATTTAAAATGGCGAACACAAAATGGCGTTCGAAAAGAAAAATTTTTTTTTAAACTTGACGAATTTTTTTCTCCAAAACTATCAACTTTAGTGAAAAATTTCTAAGAACAAAAATGTCTTCGAAAATTAACTCTCTCGCCTAAAGTCCTATCGCGTCGCGATCAGGAAAATCGACTTTTATCGAGGGTAGCAAAAAAAAAATAATTGTTAGACTTGAAATTTTTAAAAATGTTGTGAAACCAATTTGAAAAAAATGTATACTAGGAATAAAATTGATTAATTTTTTACTCAAAAACTATTGACTCAATAAAAAAATTCATAATAACAAAAGAGTCTTAAAATTTACCAAGGAGTACTCTCAATTTTTTCAGAATTTTCCGAGTTAATTTTCGAATTCGTGGAAAATCGGAAAATCGAAATTTCCAAATTCGCTGTAAAAAAATCTGAAAAAATTTGAGAGTATTTCTTGACTAATTTTAAGATATTTTTGTTCTTAGAAATTTTTCACTAAACTTGATAGTTTTGGAGGAAAAAATTCGTCAAGTTTAAAAAAAAAATCTTTCCTTTCGAACGCCATTTTGTGTTCGCCATTTTGAATTTCGGAAAAAATCCAACGGCATTTAAAAGAAAAGACATCTATAACACCGATAACAGTGTTTCCAATGGTGTATGCAAACTTTTTCCATTTCAAAATATACTTTTTTTAGAAAAAAAAAACGCGAAAAATTTGTGAATTTTCCGAAAAACCGGCCTATAACGTTTCCGGCTTACAATTTAGGTAAATTTTGTCAACGGCATTCGAAAGAGGAGGTTAAAATCTACAAGATATAAGCTTGATAAATTTTTCATACGATTTTTTCATTAAAAGATATGAGGATGAAAGTTAAGAAAAAATTTGTGTTATTTGGGAGGAAAAGGGTTAATTCATTCCTCATAAGCTACACAAATCAATAAGAACGTAATGTTGAAAGATGGCAATTAACTTTCTGATGGTCGTTACCGATTTTTACGTAAAGGAAAGTTCAAACAAGCTATTACTTGAGAAGTATGTAGTACATAAGGATTCTAATAATCAAATAATGTTACATATCTTGAGAATACTGAAAATAGAAATTTACATGAATTAAATAATGAAAAAAATCTACAAAATTGAAGGTAAGTACTTGTTATATTTGTTTACAAGGCTAAACAATTGAAAAAGAATACTAACTCACAGTTATGATAGAAAGAAAATAAAAAAAAATATTTTTAAATAAACGGCTCAACCGAAAAAGCTGAAATCGATTCAATGCAATTGAATAATTAAAATAATATATCGAATCTTTCTTTTCATCACGTTTATTCAAAGGGAAATCAGGGAGATAAATTTCTTCATTTATTATATATTTCTGTGTTCTATATACATATATAGAGGGATCTTAAAATTACTAAGTACTGCAACGAATTCATAAACAGGTTTGTTAACTTTTGATACGATTTTTATAAATTTAATATAAGAACAACTAAATGTTAATAAAGTAGTGAGGAGAAGGAGTGAAATAATAGAAAAGTCGATTTAAGATTCAAATTCACATTATATTTTTATTTTGTACACCGAGTTTGGTAATGTAAATACTTTTAATTGACTTAAATTAGTAAGTAATTAAGTGATTATATAAATATGTTAGTTTATCAGTCCTCATAATAATGGTTTCGTCTTGCTGATGAAAATTACAGAAAAAACACGTGAAAAATTACAGAAGCATTAAAAAACCACAATTCGTTTCCTATGCAACTGTATTAAATTTGAAGCGTTTTAATTTTTATCAAAAAGACGAAACGAAGGAAGTTATGGGTACTCATATCGTCATAATATTTTGCATGCTTGAGCAATGGAAGTTTAAGGAACGCAAAAATCTTTGAAATATCGCAAATATCACATTAGTTTCGTTATTTTTTTTATCTGAGATTTACTTGGTGAAAATGCAACAAAACGTTTGAAATCACACTTCAACATTTTAAGATCACAATCATGTTTTCAATCTTAAATTACAATAAATATTTAGCTTTATAAATAAAATCTAAGCGTTAAATATTAAATAAAATTAATTAAAATATCAGTCCATTCAAGATGTGAACAAAAATAGTCTTTAAAAAGTCTCCAAACTTGCTAAAGTTGAATAAAATACAAAATTATTTTCACCAGGTAGTTCTCACTGTGAGATAAAAAAAAACAATAAAGAGAGATAGACAGACATAGAGGGAAATAGACAACAAATTTGAAGCTTATATTCTAGAGAGTTGTTGCAATATATTTGTCGGTAAGATGGCCTCTAGCTTTTCAAGCACATAATGGAAGGGCATGGAAATCCAGGATAACATAGACCTGGCAACCACTCCCATAGTGTCAGGATACTGATGTGTGAGTAGGGCGACCAGAGCCGTGAATGAACACAGTCCAGCAGTAAAAAGGATGAAAAAAGGTAGTTCCTTTTTTGGGTAGACACTCACCTCATGGAATGATGGTAAAAGTTCACGATCTGCACACTCTGTACAAGTCGGATAAGGATAAAAAAGGTGGCCCTTTTCCAAAGGGTAAGGTAACATTCTAAAGGTACCTTCCCAAGTACAGTGTAGTAGATTGAGTGCACCTTCCATCTGTTTCCAATGTGGTAAGTGAGAGAAAGCATATGCTATTGCTTCTGAGTCACCCCTTTTCAGTACATGTTCTGGTGGTAGAATAAGGGGTTTCATTTCTAATAAGTACTTTGGGACATGTGGGTTGAACTCTACTGCTCTATGAATTGCCTCAACTGCTGACAGCTCAGCAGTTGTTAGACCTCTTTTGCTTGCAATGTCTGGAGAAAATTTGTCTGCTACTAATCTAGCTTTTAGTAATGCTGCTGTATAACATATTGTAGCTGATTTTGGCAAACTTATGTCATCATACTTGGCTAGCACTGCTTGTACATCAGCATAGGCTTGCATTTCTAGTAAAGCCTCTATTAAATTTTCATGAATGTTCAGTACATTCATGATTGGAGGTACTTCTTTGGTTAGATCTCTAAAAATTTTAACAGCTTCTTTGAGCTTTCCTAGTTTTCTAGCGCACATGGCAAGTCTTCTCTTAACATAAATAAGAACATTAGTGTCTCTTCTGTGTATTGCTTCAGCATTAGCTCCTTGGTGCTGAGTATTTTGAGATTTTCTATAATTATTTTCTGCTACTTTGAGAGCATGTTTGAGAATTTTTTCAGCTTCTAAAATTGTAGTTGCTTCCTCTTCTGCAAGTAAAATATAAGCAGGTGCACAGTCTGGATTACGCTCCAATGCACTGTGTGCTGCCTTTATTCGTACAACTGGATTTCTTTCACGCCATGCAGTCTGCATAATTTCATACTCTGCTTTGCCTTTATCACCTTCACAGGTAAAAAATGTCTGGTGATCTTGAGCTGACAGATTCATGTCATAATATGTCAAAGGTTCTTTATTAGTGGCCCAGTAAAATCTTTGATATTCTGCTCCTCTAAATAAATTGATTGGATTACGCCATACTTTACACTCAGGCACATTTTGATTTGATGAATTTGTAGTGTTTGTACTACTATTGTTATTATCAGAATTAGCATCTCCACCGCCAATCCACGGAGAAATGTGATTTAAAGATACCTGTTCTATGAAAGATGTACCATACTTTCTGAAATACCACCATTCAAAAATTAAAATGAGACCTGATATAAGAGATGACGTTCCTGTAAGAGCTACATAAAATTTTGGAGTAAGAGTACTCAGGAACATTGTTGAGTCCCACATGCCTGTAAATAAAAGAGCCATTTGCAGGAAAGGAAACTTTATATACTAATGATGGATTGATCCTGAATTTTTTGTATTCAATACTCTGTCAAATATATGGCTGATCTGAAAAAAGTATATAAAGAATAATAATATGTAATATGAAACATATACAAATACAACAGAGATTAATGTAACATGAAATTTTATCTCAAAATTTTCAATGTTAAAAATGAATAATGAAATGTTTCATATATTTGTAAAATCGATACAAGCATTGAGCGCTGATAACCGCTAATTTTTAGAAACTTACAAAATACTGTAAGTTTCTGTCAGCACACGATCTTCACCTCTTCTTCTTTATAAATCCTAGTAGATAGTAGGAAATTACATTTATGGACAACTCTATGGGTTGAATGTTAATAAATTTTACATGTTTTTACAACCTTTTTCTTACGGTTTTTCTCAAGGTTATTTTAACAATGAAATCATTTTTTACAGTGAGAGCTTCGATACCATGCGATAAGAAGCAGCTAATAAGGTAAGTAGATACCTAGCAGACCGCCTAAAAAATGTAAGAGCTTACATGGTTATCGACAGTTGATTCCTTGCTGGATTACAAATCGGCTAATAAAGCCTGTTTCACATGTTTATAAAATAAAATTAAACTGTAATCTAAACAAACGCCATTCTAAAGAAAAGAAATAAGATAAAGTTATGATAATAAACAAATTGATCAAACAATTTACACTTTTTTATCAGCAGGACTATTTTTACGTACGTAAATCTATATAATTGATTTGTTTTAAAGGTTATTTTATTCATAATATTACTTTGGAACCAAAATAATTCATTGTAACAATTAAATATAAATACAAATTATATTAACTATTGTTATTTTAATTATAGATTGTTAAGCGTCTGACGGCAACCAATAAGTGGTTAAAATATAAAATGGTTAATGACGATTTACCACCTTATAGGAAAGATCCAGTTATCAAAATACTAGATACCCCGGAATTTAAATCCATTTTTACACCAGAATTACGAGCTTTAGATGCTGTATTTAAAAAATATAATTACCAAATAAGGGTTGCTGGTGGTGCTGTCAGAGATATTCTTATGGGTATGCATCCAAGCGATCTTGACTTTGCAACGACAGCAACTCCTACCCAGATGAAAGAAATGTTTTTAAAGGAAGAAATTAGAATGATAAATACAAATGGTGAAAAGCATGGGACAATAACAGGAAGAATCAATGATAAAGAAAATTTTGAAGTAACTACTTTAAGAATTGATGTTGTCACAGATGGTAGACATGCAGAAGTAGAATTTACAACAGATTGGCTATTGGATGCCGGTAGGAGAGATTTAACTATAAATTCAATGTTTCTAGATTTGGATGGTCGAATTTATGATTATTTTTATGGTTACGATGATCTCATGAAAAAAAGAGTAGCTTTTGTAGGTGACCCTGCACAAAGAATTACTGAAGATTTCTTACGAATTTTCAGGTAATGATTCTGGAGTATATCTTTTACTTAACATTTGTTACATTCCTACTTTTACATTTGAATTTTCTTACTACAGATATTTCCGTTTTTATGGACGAATTGCTGAAGTTCCAGATAATCATGATGAAAAAACAATTAATGCTATTAAAGAATATGCTAATGGTCTGGAGAGAATTTCAGGTGAAAGAATTTGGAATGAATGGAGTAAAATATTAGAGGGTAAATTTCATAAAGAATTAACTGAAAAGATTGTAGACTGTGGTTGTTCAAAGTATATCGGTCTTCCTAAAAATCCAAATTTGAAACAATTTGAAGAAGTTTGTCTGCGGGCTCAAAAAAATAATATAAAATTGAAACCTGTAACTCTTGTTACTGCACTGTTAAATGATCAAGAAGAAGTGCTGGAAGTATTTAAAAGGCTCAAATTCTCAGCTTACGATAGGGATCTGGCATTCTTTCTTGTGCATCATCGGAATGATAAACCATGTGAAAAACCTTTACAGCCTTATCAAAAAATAGTCTTGAAGACTATTGGAAAAGTATCAGATATAAGAGAATATGTCGCTGAAGTACTTAAATACAGAGGTTCTCTAGAACTATTAAAGGAATTTGAAGAATGGGACTCGCGTTTTCCAGTTAATGGAAATATGATCAAACCATATGCCGACAAAAACCATAAGGTGATAGGCGAAGTTTTGTCTAAGTTGAAAGATATATGGTTGGATAGTGATTGTCAACTGCCTGTTGAAAAGTTACAAACTTATATACCTAATCTTGCTGCTCAAGCTGTGGCAGAATTTAACGAAAAGTTAGAATTAAGGGATAAAATGAGAAAAGAGAGAAAGAAGTCTGTATCAAGATAATGATTGTACATCTATACAGTATCAAACAAATTACTGTTTAGGCTTCGTGTAAATAAATAATTTAATTTTTTTATTATTCAAAGACGTTTCATTGTCGCTTTTGAAAATAGGCAGTTTTTTGAAAAAATATTAACTTATTCCTCTAGTTTATTTTTTTAATCTTCAGTGTTTGTAGTTAAAAAATATAAGATTGAAAAATTTTATTTAAATAATAAAATCACTATAATTCTCTGCTCTAGATAAGTGTTGGTTTGAAAAAAAATTCATTGTAACGAAAAGTCGCATTTCTACTTTATAAAGTAAAAAAAACTAAAATATTTTAATTCAGACAGTAAAATTCTGATTATTCATTTGAAACAAAACGAACAATATAAACTTTAAGAAAATTTCGTTTTTCTACTAAAATAATGGACGGAGATTGTTCAAGAAGGAAGAAGGCAAAACAAAAAGCATATAGAAGAAACGGAAATTCGCTCTTTCCATTGTTGAAATATTGAATAATCATCAAAGGTATTTCATCACTAACACTTGCGCACGTATGGAGCGTGTCAAATACAAATTTTATTAAAAATTCATTTATGACAGGTTATTGGGTTATTGCGAATGAAAAAAACAGCGATGTCCAACTTTGACTTTATGGCATTTTTCGAATAGATAGTTTTACGGGCTTTGATCCGTCAAGTGACAAATGTTGCACGTTAAAAACGAGTTTTTTACTTGACGTCAGCCTTTGGCGCAGCCCGCTAAACTGACTGCTGCCGCGCTTCTTGTTTTTATTTCATTGCCATTGCTATTTCTCAGTTTGCACTTTTTCTATTTTTTTACCAGAGACCAACCGAAAAACATGTACGAGCCGTTTAATTGACTTTGATTTTACAGGACTCTTTACTCCTTGTACGTTATCAAAATAAAAAATCTTACTATTTTATATTTTGCTTCATACTTCATTGATTTTATTGTATACTAAAAATAATGATCATATATGGTTGTCAAAAAAATTATGGTTTTCTTGTCAAAATTCATGAAAATCCAATTTTTTGGAAAATTTTGATATTTCAACTTATTATAAATTAATATCACTTACAAGTTTGAATATTAAATAATATGAGATCAATTTGTTCCGATTAACAATAACTTTACCACAAAAAAAGTATTTGAAGTATGCAGGGTTGGGCGATTCTGTCAAAAAGCTTCCGGCAGTTGACGCAGAATCGTCCAACCCTTGAAGTATGCGGCAAATTTAACCTTGTAATCAATATAAATTAATAAGTCAATTTTACTCCAAGGTTTAACCGTCTCTAGTGCTTGCAACCCGAGTAAAATCTAAGTCGATAGTTTTTATCGATCAAAGTACTGCGAATAAATTTTGGATCGTTCGGTTCATGAGTTTCTTGAAAATAAACATTTACAAATATTTCAAAATTAATATTTTTGAGGATTGGAGATTTGTTTATATGACTTTACAATTAAAAAATAACAGTTTAATATATTAGTTTTGAAATATCATTTACAAATAGTAGTAGTAGTAGTATTTTATTGCTCGTGTATAGTCTTCACGGCCTTTTACAAAAATTTCCATTTACATTATTTCTTACATTCTAAAAAACGCTTACAAAAAACTATCTTCGCATAAATGCTTCGCTACAATAAAATCCGCAAAAAAAAATTTGCTTTAACAATATAAATATTATCATTTACAAATATTTATTTTTAAGGAAACCAATAAATCGGATAATCTAAAATTAATTCATAGTACTTCGTTCGGCAAAAATTATCGATCTAAATTTTTCTTTTCGAGTTGCGGGCACTACTCATTAATTTACATTGATTTATATATCTATGGAAGGGTAGGGGAACCGTTAAGGAATACATATTTTCAGGAAAATGAGTTTTTATGAAAATTTTTATATAAAGATTTTCTGAATTGCTGATTAAGAATCGAATTCGAATTTAAAAAATACAAGTAACGAATTCAACATGACAGCTAAAATATTAAAAATTTAAAAATATTTTGAAATTGGTACGTAGGGTTTTTGGGGTTGGGTTACGAATCTGAACTCAAATTTAGAGAATTCAGTATTTAGAATACCGGTTCCAATATGATGTCTAAAATGTCGAATAAAAAGAAATTTCGAAATGTTTGTTGGGGTCGCTGTATTTCGACTCTGAATTTGATGAGGTAAATATTTCGAAAATGCAGGTGAATATTGTAATATGGAAAATGAAAAGAGTTAAAAGAACTTTTCTCAAATTTTTGCTAATCGTGTAAAAAAATAAAGAATTTTATATTTAAAAATATTCATTTGTTTAATCGATATAATCTATAAGAAACTTTTAAACAGTTCCATTAATTTATATTTTAGATAGAATACCTAACTATAACTGATAAAACGGTAATCAATAAGCCATATAAATATTTGAAATTTTAGTTGCTATCTTGGAACCGCCATTTTCAATTTTCAAAATCTGAGTTTAAATTCGTAATGAATGAGCACAGAAAACCTCGTATACCAATTTTCAGAGAAAATTCAAAATGATTCAACATAGATACCTAATCGGCATTAAAAAAATCAACTTTCATAAAAAATTCGAACATATTTACGTTAGTTGAAACGCCACGCAATTTCAGTCATCCAACAATAAATCGATGCTTAAAGTTTTTGTATAAAAGTCAGTCACAGGTAATTAAAAGTTTAGGATTGTGATTTAGAATGCTGGAAATAAAAGGAGTTTAATCAGCAAACTTGTCGGTACATTCGGCTGCAGCAAAAAGACAAAATTCGACTGTGCAGCAGCATTTGGTCTTTCATTTGAAAACTCACGTGCTGAAAAAAGCGCATACCTGTACACACGGACACACACCTGCTTTGAAAAGCATTCGAAATTAAGAAAAAAGGCTGGTAATTTTGCAGGGAAAGGAAAAGCTGGGCGCTGTACAGAGAAAAGCTAAATGTCTGCTCTCGTCAGCTCGCTTCTTGGAGGTCTAATTGCTCGGTAGCCGCGCGCGCGATCCACGCAATTAAAGTCGGGTTAGCTAGGCACGTGGCTCGCCTTGCTAAGCAGCTTTCTTGTCTTTTTTCTCTTCTGCTTTTCAAAGCGCGCTCTCTCTTTCTTTTATTAGTTTTTATTGCGCGTCGCCACGTTGCATGCGAGATTGGCGTGCGGAGCGAAGGGACGCTGCTAATAACTGCACAGCTGGCTACACGGTTAGCTATATGTACGCTGTACAACTGCGCGACATTTGTTTTTTCACAAGACGCGTTTCTAATGTTTAAATGTGTGGGCAATAACTACCGTATACCTAAATATTTATCGAGATTAGAGCAGACTGATGATCGCATACATAGCAGCGAGGTGATGAGTTATTGATGCCAGGAATTAATGCCATTCTCTTATTGGATGAGCTCATTTAAAATTCACTATGCGATAATTACGGTTGAATTCACTAATCACGTTTTCGAGTACCAGCATATTTTTCAATTCGAACTTTAATAGAAAAAGACGCGCGAAGAATATGCCCAGAGAAACTTATTAAGTAACACGGCTAAATGTGTTTTACAGAGCCAACATCACTCGTAGTTTCAATTACGTGAATTTTCCGACACATAAGCGTTATATAGAGGATGCATGTAGTTTGAGTTGACATATGATTAGCAATTAACAGAACGATAAGCGCAGGTGCGCGTATGTGTAGCAGTAGTGTGGAGTACGTATGGGCTTTCAGACACATACGCACCGATATATCCATCAGTAGTACATGGACGTCTCGTTGGACTGTATACATATTTGTCCAACACACGTCTGGAGTATTATACGGACAAGTGGATTTCGGTGGGTTGGATTGCCTCGCGCGGTCTAAATTTCCTTGACCTGTTATGCGATGCGGATGGATATACGTACAGGTGTGTATGTATATAGCCTCTCCGTCCTCACTTTCCCGATAAGACGATACATTTGCTAGTCAAATAAATGCATTAGCCCGTACTACGCATTGGCTGTTGTGACGCCCAACGAGAGAGAAGCATTGTCGAGCTTGCAGCTATTACTCGTACACTGGATTACACTTAAGCTTGCATTGACGTTGCTGCCGATACACAGACCAATCTCGTTTGCTAAGTAAGTACGTGTGTACCTTGATGCTATTTGGACACTTTTGCAGTTTTGGTAAAATGATTTTTCATTAATGTTCCTCAATAAAATTCACAAACGTCGATTAAGTCAATTGTTTCCGTGATTTTGCAAGTGATAGCTGGGAGTATTGCATAACCGCATTAAAAGCTGTAGCAACAACGTGTTTAATCGTGCAAAATAACAAAGCGGTGTCTGAATAATTGACGGCACATCCAATTTATTATCTTTTCATTATGCTTTTAATATCATGTAAAAGTTATGCACATAAATGTAAATTCATTTTTTTTTTTCATAATATTTTTCATCATTGGTCAACGAAGAGCATTCTTTGCTTATTTTCGTCGATCGTTTGTCAAAATCATGACAGAAAAACAACATCGATAAATTTCTATACTTTTCATTATAAATTAAATATAACAAGAAAGAAAAGTCGAATATAGACACGTAGCTTATGGTTCAAACAAAGTATTGAATAAGAAATAAATTTTCAGTATACTCATTTGATAATCATCACCGAATCGTAGAAAAACAATGACATCGAATTGGAAAGTAATCGTCGTTATCCTAAAGCGTGGTACATGGAGAAGTATTTTTTCTTTGAGTAATTTTAAAAGATTGCAAAGCTAGCCGCATTTCCGTTGCGCCTAACGACAATACTGTTTGTCTCTTTCTTTTTCTCGTGGTCCCGCTTCTTTAGCCCTTCTTTTAGTTTGTCAGTGTGTGTACATATGCCCTTCGTCTATATTCACTCCCGAGTCTCGTTCATTTCAGTCTGCCAAGTCATTAAGAATGGCACGACAGCTCCAATCAAAAGCTTTGTTGTAGACTTGCGTCTTCTCTTTATGGTGAGATATAACCTTACATTACAAGGGACTAGTAGTGGCATAATGTTTTTATCGTCGGTTTCCCTTTATTTAAATAATTTTTGGTTGTTGAAAAAATCACGTAGAAAATCCGGTTCTTCTTACTTTTTTTATGTAAACGAGGTTCAAATTTTTACTTTCTGTACAAATTGTACAGAAATGAATCTTTGATGTTGTCAAAACTTCTTTTGCGTAAAGTACTATAAAATATATTCTGTTGTCGAATAATAGCAAATATTGTTCTATGTGGAAACCACTTGAGAGATGTAATAATGCAAACAATGCTGCGTATATCTTACCAGAATACCAAGAGAAATCAGTTATATATATGAGCGAAACAGCCGAGAATTCTAGTTAGACAATAATATTCAGTATCAGGCAAGAATGCATGTTAGTCAAAAGAAAAAGGACAACTATTCTTCGAAGAGTCCTCACGCTTATTAGACTGGAAATTTGGAAGACAATAACACATAACTTGGTAATTTCACTCGTCGCGGGTATATGTGTTCGGACCGAATTCCATCGCGTGTACAAAGGGCGTACGTAGGGCAAATTAGTGACGCCTTCCTACAGTTTATGCCCAAGTGTGCTACACTCCTTTGTCGTATACTCATTTAGCGAGCCAACTATTTCATTCTCTACCGCTATTGAAAAGGGCCACGTGTGTAACGAACAACTTATCATGGCCGCCCGTCTATTTTTCTCTCTCTTCTAATTGTTGGGCTGCCCGCTTTTTTTGTTCTTTACCGAGCAAACAATTGCACGCGAAATACCTTGTTGGCATTATACAGCGTAAATTATACATAGCACTTGTGGAAGTTATATAAATGAGGAGATACTGATATAGAATATAGTGGAGTTGAAGTACTAGGCTTGCGGGTTTTTGAAATGTTTACACGTGAATTAAACTTGACGATCGAACCTAACTGCGCGAAAATGTAAGCTTCACTGGTTTTGCTTTTCGATTCGTGCGGAATATCGGTTTTTTTCGCGAAAGTGGAAAGTTTAATTTTGCTCGACGGTCGTTGTAAAGTACTGAAACAATCACCGTTACCTCGTGAGTTATTACATCATTCAAAATGAACTGTTCTGCGTCAAGAGTTCTCTTCTTCTCTAAATTCTCATTATGCAGTTAACTGTCGAGTATTAAACTGAATGGGGAAGAATTGAAGTCAAGAGCTTGGTTTATTTTGAACGAACTCGTTTGCGTGAAGACGTTGGGTTAGAATGAAGTTTTAAGTGGTACAATCCACACGAAATGAAACCGTATATACTTCCTTCTTTTATATGTTGAAATAATTATCTCGGCGGCCGGATTGAATGATGGAAGCTTTCGATAAACTCCCTTTTTCTGTCGTTTGAAAAGCATTTTGATTTGTTTTGACGAGTCACGGATGACAGAACATCAATGAAAATTTTACGTTTTCTATTCGAGCAATATCTATCGTTGCATAAGATTCCTTTGAATCATAACAGACACTCGTTATTGAAGACACCGCGATGAAAAGTTTATTCTGTTTCTTCATACCAATTCTGTCAACTTCACTTGTAATTTTAATTGTAATTGTGGCATTCATTGTTCTGCATAGGAAATCGATGCTATCCACTGCAAACGTGCTTTTATACACGCATATCAAGGGTCGGTTTAGTATCAGCTGAATTTTGCTCATTTGTTTATAAATGTAAATGTGACGAATAAAACTATATGTATGTATGTATGGGGGGTCTTATAATGTTGATAATTTTAACTACTTACTAAAGCTTCATTTTTAACATAATTGACTCTTATCGAAGAAAACAATGAAAATCAAGTTCAAAGATGTCCATCTTATATACATCAATGGGCAATTCGTTGATGAAGACTCGATTGATCTTTCTATGAACTTTATCAATACGTTATGATGTAAAGCAGTTGTTTTGAAAAAGGTTTCGATCGGAAGTGAAGGTATTGTTAAATCAATTTTTACGGATTTAACTTAATGATCTAGTTCTATTGTACGCGTAGATTTTAGGTTTTATTCTAAGCGCGCCTTAGGATATTATCGATTGCATACGCGTATCAGTATGAACATTTCCATTTGTAAATTGAAAGAACAATTGTTTTAGGGTGAATATGGAAATGAAGGTTTTTTGCGGTATACATGGTTATGTTTTCAGTTATTTTCCCATACAATCAATATCGTTTAATATAAAAGTTAATATTAAAAACGTGAAAATAGTTAGAGTGCAGTTTTTTAATATAAAAATACTTCAGATTATTGCTTGTCACAATGAAAACAACTGAAAAACAAACAAAATTAATAAGTCTATTACATAATTACAACGCCTAATCTGTGCCACAATCAACAAAAATAAACGCTATTCGAAACAACAAGTTACGAAGTTCCAGTGCATAATTATTTCACTGTCAGCGATAATGAAATTTTGAGATGGCTATAATGATCATCATAGCGAAAATTCCAGTTGAAGAACGTACGGCCATTATCAGGAGCGGATAGCATCATATAGTTCCATCACGCAAAACATACTGTTAATTAGTGGACGGGAATTGGTGAGAGACATGCGAAGCGCACCTCGTTTGCGGAAGAGAGAGCTTACAAGCAAGAAAGTTGGGAGTAGTAAGGATAGGGTGTACGTGGATATTTGTTCTTCAACCAAACAGCCGCTGAAAGATAAAAGGCTGTCCTTGAGAGAAATAGTCAGACGTTTGTCTCTAGGTATGCGACTGACTCTTGATGTATTTTATCCTGTTTTCCTTGTCGTACATCTAAACTTTGCTGCGGCACGCGGCAAAAGGGGATTCCTAAGCAAATTAGTCGAGTTCGCCTCGGGCCATACACCTCCAGCTCTGCGCCATAGCGTTTATTTGATGAACTTGTCGACTACTGATTACTTGACTTTCTTTATTTTTGTTCTTTTACTTTTTATCTTTTTCTCGTAAGCTAAAATAACACACACGTAATGATGTCGATTACACCTGTCTTTGCGTGAGCTTCCGATTGATTGTTGCGGGTACTTCCAAGAAAGATATCGGCTCGTATTTTATTGGATACAAGAGTGACATTGAATAATCTTTCGAAGTCAGCCAGTGTAGCAAATTAGTTTTCACTTTTATTTAATAAATATATCAAAATACTGACAAATGTCGAGATTACAACATTAACATTATTAAAACATATTATCAAATATAATAGCAATAACCGAAACTCGTTTTGCTTGCCAATTGTAATTACAAATACTAAAATAAATACAATTTCAAATTCAATACGTCTCAAATATCAAATTCATGACAATAATGTCAAATATCTGAAAACTTGATTCTATGAGTTGTTTTCATCATTTTTCATTTTCCAAGTTGTTTTTATTGTAGAAGCATTAGTGAAGACTTTAAATCAATGTTTCTTTCACAATGATTTGAATATAAACTGAGAGATGAAAGGGTATCTTATAGGTTTAATTTACCAGTTTTGAAGCTTATATTTAAATCATAAAGACTTTATCTCAAGGGTCTATTGATGTTAAATAAATTGTTTCCTCGTCTGGCACGATTAAAGCGCGACAACACCCGACTAACGTGAAATCTAAATCTTTCAGTTAATTTTCAAATGAAATACAAGTTTCGTCAGAGGCACATGATAAAATCTACCAAAAAATGCACTTTTCTGATAACCAAAATGGAAAAAATGACCGTACTTTTAGATCAAATTTTGTTTGTTTTACGTTTTATTTCATGACGAAAAATGCTCAGAAGCATTACAAAAGTTTATTGCGACTTTATTTTCTGGATATCACTTGAAAAAGTTGAAAAAGAAAAACACCAGAACATTTTCTAACGAATGATTAACCAGTCTTGGGGAAGGCTAGGAAAATTTCTATAAGCACATATAAAATGATAGTAAAAATGAAGACCTTTTCGTGTAGAAAAAGGTCTCGTTCAATTAAAGCTATTCGATGTAAAGCGATCGACAAATTATTAATTACGTAAATTTTCATTCTTTTCTTCAAATTTTCGAAATTGGTTATTGAATTTTAACAGCAGGTTGAAATTATGGAATTCATTATTCTAAAATAAATTATTTAATCAATGGTTTCATTTATAAATAATTAATTTATGATTTGTTTTCAAAAGAATGAATTCCATAATTAGGAACAATAAATCGATATATTATTTCATGAATACAAAACTAATAAAAATACATTTCATTTATATGGTCACTGGACAATTTATACGTATGGCGTTAGAATCAAATTAGTGCAAACGATAAATTTCGAGAATTTCACGAAAAAGTAATTTGACCATAGCTGTGCATCCGATAGCTTGAATTGAACGAGACTTTTTTCTGAGTAAGGATCTTCATTTTTATTATCATTTAATGTTCTCAGAAATTTTTCTAGCCTCCTCGTGAGCTAGTAAATCATTAGTTGGAAAATGTGATTTCTCATATTTTTCTTTTTTGAATGTTTTGAATGATAGCCGGAAAAACTGCGATGTTCCTGAAAATTTTTCATTATTTAATAACATAGAAAACAAAATGATTCGATCTAGAAGTTGGAGCATTACAAAAATTTTATCGATTTTGGATGTTAGAAAAATGCATTATTTTGGCGGATTTGGTTTTACGAAGAAGAATTAGTATCTAGGAATTTAATCCGAATTAGCGGACAGAACAAGGCGTAAAATCTTAATAATTGGTAGATCTCAGTGGGAAATAATCCGTAATATCGCTAAACAAGCATTCCATTACAACATTATTTGCACAAGCTACCGTGGGCGCAGCAGCTAACATATAGATAGTACGTATAACACATAATAATATCCGTTGGACCCTCCTTACTGGAGCAAAGTCCCTCACGTTAAGCTGTTAATACTCGGTTAACGAGGAGGGTCGGGCATCCGCTTTTAAGCGTGCGCTCTGACTATAACGAGACGCCGACCCAGGGAATAATAGATGAGAGCTCGGCGTTTTTTGCCCAAATGTCACTTTGGCTGCCTCTTCGTCTTCTGCATCATTGATATTTAACGCATTGTGCTAAATAATTAAAATCGCAATTGCGCCAAAACTAATTGTCCCGTAGCGTCTATTTTTTACACGTTCACGTGCGCTATTACTCTTCTGTAAAAGCTCAGTTCTACAAGTTAAACATTTACCAAGACATGAATTTTTTTCACATTCATCAATTTTATAGTTTTTCGAGGTTTTCCGGTTACTGATTCAAATCACTACGTCGAAGCAAAAATTACATCTTGTTCGCGTTTTCATTACCTTCAATTATTTACGTATTGTTACCGTTACAACATCTTCATTACCTTCTGTGTTATTAATGAAAAAAACTCATTAATTACGTTTATTTGGTCTATTTTGTTTACAAAAATTTTTTAGCAAATTTTTGTGTACGATATGACAAATTTAATCCGCTTACTATCCTTTATAAAATAGTGCAGTCTATATTCTATTGAAAAGATCCCGATTGAATGCAGTATTGCGTATGTCGATCGGGCAAGCAAACTAAGATTCTATTCGCCTGTATACTAGAAAATTTCTTTCTATAGGAAATACATATAGCCTCGTCTAATAGTATACAAATATCTGATAAAAATATAAAAGTAGAAGAAGAAAAAAGAGTCCCAGGGATTCAGAGCGTTTTATTCGGCACTCCTGTAATATATTACAGGAATTTTTATTCTTAGTTCATAGATTTTTTATCTAGGCTTGCACAAACTAACCGTGAGAGTTTTATTTTCGTCTTTTGATGGCCTTTCTTAAATTTTTTCAGGTCAACCGACTCACTTTGGCATTTATAACGTTAGCTCGGTCTCTCTCTCTCTCTCTCTCTTGAGAAATTGCACGACCTTTTAACCTTTTTCTAGACTCATCTTCCTGGTTTTTTCTTCGCGTGGAATTCATTGGTTCGATACTCGTTATGTGAAGTTGCTTTGCTTGTATCGATTCGTCACTCAACTGCTATATACTTCTTGTTATGTATTAACTTCTCGGGCGCGCGCGTTTCCACTTTATTTGGAGCGATTTTAGCCGCACGTTCGTTCTTGATGAGCTCCCCAAAGTCAATTGTGCTTGAGAGATGCTGCTGCTGCTGCTGTGCGCACGAGAAACTAGGCTGCAATTTTCTTGGTTGTTGTGTGATCGAGTATGTGTGTAGTAGCTGAATTGACAGTATTTGTGTGATTCGTCGTTACTTCATCAATGCTTTTGGACAAAATCTTCGTCAATTAAAATTGATATAATTTATTTGATTATGTTATTTGTAGTACTAAATTATTTTTACAATGAAACGCTTTTGACATAGCCTATAAAATGAGCCTGGCTAATTATTGAAGATAATTAAAAATCGTAATTACGTCGTTTTAAAGATATCTTTTAATGTTAAAAGGTGTCGAAGGGTTACAGCTCAGAAAAAAAGCGCTTGTTTATGGATTAGTGGCGATCGAGACACGCACTGCGAATGTGTAAACGCGATTATTTTAAAGGATTTGGCTCAGTGCGGAAGTGTACAGAGCAGCACCTTTTAAGATTAAGAGGATTACTGGCTATTTTTTTCCCGTTGGTACGTTGCTTTGTGGAACAATCAAAGTTTTACAGGAATTTCATTTTTTTTTCAGCCAAAACTGCTTGAAGAATATTATAGAACACATAGTCTTTCACCATGAGAAAAGCGACATGATAAAAATATCGTTTTTGTGAATGGAGACTGGTGTGTGAGCTAGCTTATGCTTCCATTAAAATGTATTGAATACTTTTTGAGAATTTTTGAATACTCACAAGCTTTGTTCTATGACATCTCGCGCATTGACATTATAATTTCTAATGAAAGCTGAATACTTAATTACTCGTTGACATCAGCGAATAATTGATGATAGTTATATTTGCTAACAATTTTACGAGAGAATTGATTTCAGTTCATCAAATATAAACTGGCACAGTATGGCGCAATGGCATATTTATAACCTGCACTTTGCAAACGGCTTTTTCACAGAAGCCAACTTCAGTTCGCGTCATACATCCGTATATTTGTATCAGCTTTAACATGATACACCGAAATTAAGGAGCATCTATATCGGGTACCGGCCAGTTTTAATCGCTCCATTCTCTCGAACATTGTTATTTGAAACGAGCGAAAATTTCGTGATGGCCTCGAGCTTCCAAGGTCTGTCTCGAGAATTGCTTAAATTTCAGCACGTTATCTAACCTCAAGCAAACGACCTACAGTGAGCGTACTCATAAAAAGTTATAATAATCATGACTTCGGTGGCTTGTTATTCCCACGAGGACGATGCCGTATCCGAGCGTTCCTCTAAACAAATGGTCAACTGTTGCTGCTGTCATTACGACCCTTTCGACGACGACACACCTGAGACAAGAATCAAGGACTTGTCGTTTGCCTTGAGGAAACTCTCGGCCATGAAATGTCAGATGAGGAAGTGGAGACTCGAAAGACTCGAGCTTGAGAGTCAACTTAGAGTACTGACCAAAATTCTTAGGGCAAACGGTATGTTTGAGGTTATATGCTTTTTTATACTTGTTGTTATATCAGCAGAAAGCCAATGCGATTTTGCTGAATACTTTGCAATTATGGCTTTGCAATTATTCATCTTTCTTTTTTATGTATGTTACAAATACCAGCAGTATATAAAATATATTGAAATACCACTTTTGAAATTTTCGCACTATCGGATGCAACTGATTATTCAACAGATCCGTCGTTAATATTTATTCTATCGATTCGGTGTTATTCGTTAATGAATGTAATTCATTGATGGCTAAAGGCAGTTTGTTGAATTAAAATTGATAAAATATTCGATGATTACTGTCTTCAGAATTTTATTAATGAAACTACATCTTGGCCAACATAACTGACAACCAAGATTTAGACATTCTACTGTTTCTTGTCACTCGTTGCGTAGATTTTCTGTTAAGAACTAGATGTCGGATATCCTTGAGATATTTATCTTCAGAAATGCCTCGGCTTCCATGAAAACTGTTCAATCTATTACACCACTTACTCGTTTTTTTACTCACCAGTGTAGGCGTCAATGTGGATACGGTGCTAAAAGTGGACCCGTTAGTGACACATCTAAGAGCTGAGTATCAGAAACTTGAGAACCTTAAAGCAGCACTAGAGGACGAGGTGAGAGACTTGAGGGAGACGATTAAGGAACGCCAATGTTTTGAGGATGAACCTTGCAAGGCTGTGATTTACGCGCGTGAAAAGATGCTCGAATTACGTGCCCGATGCGCCACCGAGAAGAGACGGTAATGCACCCTTTCAGTACTTTAGACTCACAGAACATTGATCAAAGAGAATCATAACTGTTATATATTGAAAATGAATCGATTCTTCAGTTAGCATTTGAAAAATGAGGATTTAATACTAGCAGTCTACTTTCTTCATTGTAAATTAAGAAACCTAAATGAAAAATAATGCATTTTAATGCTGAATCACTGATTTCAAACTGGATATACTGTTAAAAGCTAGATTTAATGATTTGCTTTTTGAGAGAAGCGAATAATTTGATGGAAACTCTATCTTACTTACTATTTACATTTGATACAGCAAGGCGTGTTTATAAAAGAAAGTCTGTGCATTGTCATGAAAGTTCCATCTTTCATCTTGAAAAGTTTCTACTCTGCAAAATCAAGCCCTCCATTTGAGTGCCACTAGCTCATTGTCCATCATACTTTTTACATCGTAGCCGTCGATAAATAAAGCAATCTTTCTCCGTTGTGTGAAAAAAATAGGTTGCGAGAGACAATGGGCAATCTGCAATTAAAACTGGAGGAGGCTTCGGCGAGGCTAACGAACGAGGTCGATCAGCAGCAGGTGTCCGAGAAATCGATTGGCGAACTTTGCTCCCAACTGAAAAAGGAAAACAAACGCCTACTCGTCGAGGTCGAAACTTTAAAGTGAGCCCTAGTTTCTACACCTCGATTCGTTCGTTTAATTACACCCAGAATCCAAGTACGACTAGAATTAAGTTTCTACGAAATTTGAAATATCTGCTTTTTTCTTCACATTTTGTTTCTGCAAGATTCGGTATTTCCTCGAGAAAACTTGTTCACTCGGAAGATAAATCGGCATAAGAACATCTGAGACCATCTCTGTACATTAATCAATTACAAAATATCAAAATTAACGCTCATCTAAAATTGAGTAATGTGAATATTGATTTTGCACATTACTCAGGTTCGAAAATGTAAAATTAATGTTGATAAATAATTCTAAAATCTGAGTATAGCATAAATTTCGTTATAGAAAATTTCAGAAATTGGAGAGTCCCAAGACTGTTGATGTGACTAAGTTGTGTGAACGAATGCATGCTCTCGAGTGTGAATTGACTCAGATGCGACATCAACTTGCCGAGAGGGACGCTATGATTCAAGATCTAGAGAAGAGATTGCAGACTCAACGACGTAACTCTACGCAACTTGAGAAGGTGGCTGTTAGTCAACGAGCTCTTGGTGACCAAAATGTTGCAATAAAAGCTAAGCAGAAGCAACAAAACGAGATGGTAATTGTTATGTGCATTTCTTGGTTTAGCAAAATTTTTTTACTCAAGGGTTCTGCTATTTTTGATCCTATCTTTTCTGCTTTTTCTAACTTCAAGCCTCGCTGTAAACCTCAAGCCTAGTGATGGATTATTTAGATTGTCGCGACTTATTAGAAGAATTTTATCGAAATATTTATGCTTGCAGACGTGACACAATATTAATTTGAAAATTGTGATGTTTCGATTTGATTAATTAAGTTCGTAATGTATGTTGATCAAAATTACTTAAACTATGTTTAAAATGCGATTTTTTTAAATAAATGAATAGAATTGATTGTCATACGAAAATAAACGTCTATATTTTATTTATTCTTCAATTTAGTTCTGACAAAGCCAACTTTAGCTAACTCAGTTATTAAGACTGACTTCATAAGTTATAATCGTAAATTAAGAAATTAAGTCAGTCATCGTAGTTACAATTTTCAGCACTTCTATAACTCTATATTTTGTCAAAAGCTATTTTAAGAAATCTGTTAACTTTGATAATGAGCTCAACCGATCGCACTGTAAACTAATATTAACTTAGACATTCACGCGTTAATATTTCATGTGAATTAAAATACCTATAAATTGGGTTATCGGTATTTTTCGTCTATCACAATGTGAATTCTTAATGGAATCATAAATTTTAAAGATTTAGTGACGTTAAATGGTCTACAACTCTGAAGCATTGGCGGATTGATTTTCGCGAAACAGCCGTTCTATAGTCACTGTTCTCGAAATTCAAACAGTGGAATTCCTAAACAGTACAAGTCTCAACTGGACGCCGTGAAAGTCGAGTTGAAGAAAGCTCAAGCAAGCAATCGGAACCTCGAAAAAACTTTGGAAGAACTTGGCAGTGAAAATGCTATACTTCGAGATTCAAAAGCTCGCTTCGAAGCTGAACTCGAAGAGCTTCGCCAGAGATTACAACAAAGCTCGGATCAACTACAATGCGCTAAAGAAGATGAGACTCAAATGAAAGCGGAACTTGACAGATTGCACAATCAAGTAATGAAGAGTCAGGATGAATATAAGAGGATTGCGATTGAACGGGACGAATTGGCGAGACAAATTCATACAACTCAGGAGAAGGCTCGTAACGAAGCTGAAGAGTTGAAGGTAGAACTTAATGCTTGTTGTTGTGAACTTGATGAGATGCGGTAAGTTTTTTCATCAAAATCCTATTACATTCTAGATTTGTAGTTCATTTTATAAATGCATAGTGATTCACAACTTTTATGAAACACGTAAAATAAGAGCTTCAACGAAAATCTGTTAGACGGGATCTTTTACGCTACGTAGCATCGAAAAATTATATGGATTAAAAGCCATATCAGAGATCGGTTTCTAAATTGCATGAATCCGTGAAAAGTTTTGTGTCTGATATCGATACTTTTCTTAATTCGCTAATTCGATTGTTGTATGTTCGTAGTATATAATTAGAGAATTTCTTTAGTTATAGATTTTGGATTTAAGTCCAAAGTAGTAACATCATAGTTCATCGTGAATATTAAATAAATCTTGTAGCAAAACAATCTTCTCTTCAGGTTGTAAATTTGTTAAATAAATAAAAAACAATAATTATAAATCTTAAACGTTAATTAATCAGACGAAAGCTCAAAGAGTCGAAGATAGCTGCTGAAAGTGCTGAGGCTTGCAATTCGGAGTTACAGTGCAGTTTCAATGCTTGCACTAGTACTAATAGTAAACTTACAGCTGAAATCGAGCGTACAAAGGAAGAGCTTCGCAAGCTTAGTAAACAATTGAAAGAGACAGAGACATTGCGTGACAAGTTAAATGCAGTCAGATGTGAATTGGACAGGTAAAGTGCCTTTGCAAAATATAACAAGGCTTATTATATAACGGTAAGAATTTATTCAATATTGATTTAATAATATACATTTTTCGTTAAATTTAATATTTGTTACATCGGAAAAAAGCATCACTCATAATAGAAAACAAAGAAAGTCAGCATTAAATAAATAAATAATTTGCACCAGTTGATATTTTTGCAACAAAACTATTTTCCATTGCTATTGATTCTGGTTTTAAAGATAGTTTTTGATTACCCACCAACGTATGCATTTTTCAACTTGACAGCTTGAATAAGCGATTACTAAAAACAGATTGACGACTGCGAATGCAGCCACTAATGCTGACAACTCGTGCTTGAAGACAGATAACGTATGGTTAAAGAAGAGCGTCGAGACGTTGAAGAAAACGAAAGAGGCTTTAGCCTTGGATTTGGTAAACGCCAAAATCGAAATGCAATTGGAAAAGCAAACGCTAGCAGTCGAGGCACGCAAACAGTTGGCAGATACCGAACATGAATTAAAGACTTGTCGCTCCGAGAATAAAAGGTTGAAATGTGCAGTAAACGAAAGCAAACGAAAAACCCAAGCTGAAATGGTTTGCGCAAGCAAGGTGCTGAAAAAGGAGATTCAAGCGCAGATCGAAGGTACGATTTATTTTCTGTGAAATGTAAGCTTCTCCATTTTCAAAATTGATTTTCTATTCAATACAGCGCTCTTATGAATCTCTAAGTTTTTTCATTTTATGTCTGATTATACTTAAATATTACTACTTAAATTAGATGAATCCATACCATTTATTTATCATTGCTTTTTCTGAGATTGAAGAAAAAATTTGTAGCAGTACTTGCACAGGTAGTCTAATCATATTTACATGTAACTTCGCTTACGAATTACTATTTCTAGCTGTAAACTGCGTGATGGAACTCATGAATCATGCCGAGGGTAAAATGACTAGACGACCTGAAATGTCAGCGCGAACAGTCAATAATACATGTGACAAATGGTCCATGCCCGAAATAGTTGAGTTGTTCGACAGTTGTCGAACATTATCGGAGGAAATTTCGAAAGCTGAAAAGGTAGCCAAGAATCTTAAATCTAAAACAGTGGATATATCAGTAGTAAAAACTTTTGAAGAGGAAATTGTACGTTTTGTAAATTGGTCAAGTTTGTATTTTTGTAATTAACTGTAATCAGTTCTTCTGTTTCAATAGCTCAGCATTATAGGCGAGTTGGAAGAAACGAAGTCGTTTTTGAAAACACTGCAGAAAGCACAACAGGTACGTACATTTCAATGTGATTTAGTTTTATTGTTAGATTATATAGATAGGTGTAAATTGACTCAAATACGAATAGAATAAGAAAAAATCATGTTGAAACAATGATAAATTACGAAAATGATAATTTTCGTACAAGATAAAGTAAAATCGGGATTTTTTTTCCAACATTCAACTAATTTATTTAAATAACGATTAGACATTAATGATACTTTCGACAGATCTTTATTCAAATTGTTTAAAAATAATAAAAAAATTACGCATACGTACAGACCTGTTGATGTCGAAAAAGTTGACATCTTGTAATAACTGTAGCGAAGATAAAAAAAATCCTTTTCTATCTCGGAAGTGCCAACAGTGTCATTGATTTGTTGCAAGATGTCTAAATATTTTCCAAGTGATAAATCAACGACACTGTTGGCATTGCCACATTTCTGATGCAAATCAGTTACATCAGTATTTCTGTAATTCAAAACGAAAGTTGGAAAGCAAAATTAATGTCTCGACGTACATCACCGCAGTCAAGCAAGTCCAACGTACCTCGACGTGCATTTTCCAACGCAATCTCACCCTACATTCTTTCGCCTGAAAAGCAACTAGTTAGACGAGGATACATTGCTCCCTTCGATCCCGATTCATGGCTCAGAGTAGGGATCATATTGACTATTTGGAAATTCAACGTACAATTGATAATCAATATCTTTTCTATCAGTCTCTTAACTTGATGGAGTTGGCTGAGCTACACGAACAAATCTGCGTAATCACTTTGAATATAGTATCGGACAACGGTGGAAATTTGCAAAGGCAAATTGCCGAAAGACATCGAGAGGTGACGGTTAGGTCTACGAAAATTAGACTTGCTTTGCTTAAAGAGCAGTCGCGACTTGCTAGTATAGCTGATGAGATGAAACGCGAGTCTAGGTTCACACTGCATATTAGGTAATTGCATCATAGTTTGTTCAAACATTATTTAAAGCGAGTAAATTAGTTTAGTTTTTGAATGGACTGGATGGTCATATCTTGACATGAAAGTATACGTCGATGTGACTTGATGAAATTAACAGATACATTTTTGAATTCATAAAGTATGAATATTTAAGTGACGTAAAAAAAAATACAGTTGGGGTTAAAAATTCATATCGTATAAATGTAATCGCTCGTATGATTGTGAAATGAGAGCGAACATTTTTTATAGATTTCTGCAGTAATCAAATAATGTAATTTTAATAACTAGCCATATGTATGGAATGCGAAATAATAACATCGAAATGATTTCTGGTTTCATTTATGTTCAGCAATGTAGATTTATTGAAATGTAGATTTATTGAAATTGTATTAGTATAAACGTAGAAGATAGAGGAGGTATTCACTGTACCAATGATTAACTCATCCGCAGCTTGGACGCGAGAATGCTAAGAAGGAATAACGAGAGGCCGATACTTTGCTGCACTAGGGAGGATTGCTTGCACGTGGGATGCGCTGTTGACTTTGATCCAGACCGCTCTCGTCGGAAATGAGCCAGAGAGCCGTCCTCTTTTTGATTAATTGCCCACTGAACTCAGTCGCGCGCGTCTCATTAATCAACATCCTGCTTAAGAAAACACGCTATCCTGTGGACACTCCTTTCTCAGCTATCTCTTCTCCTTGCTTTTTCTTCCCTTTTTGCCGAACCTCTAGGGGCTTTGTATATCGAAGAGAAGCTAGAAAAATGTCTTTTTCCAAGAATTCATTTTCCTTGATTGCGTTCGTAGCTATGTATCAAATTTGTACTGTGTGAATTATTCCCAAACTAAGGATTTTGTTAAGATTAATGTGGAAGTTATTTACGATTATTCATATTTAAAATGTCAAAGTATCGATCATGTATAGACGTCTTGTAACTAACTTTCTAACAGTATCTCTTGACGTTCAAAGTTCATTAAATATTTTTCAAAACTTTGTATTTGTTACTTGATTCTTTCGTCTAATAGCTTCTGTTTCGAATGAATTATGCATATTTTATCATATGAATCATGTAAGTTCTCTAAAGCCTAACTGTCCTCTAAATCAGAAGCTAATTGATTTTAGGATCCGTTTGAATTTCAAACATCTGCAAATATAGGATGTAGCAAAATGTAAAAAGAAAGCGAGTTATGATTACCAGTGACAATAAGAGTGATGCTCTTGGAGGTTTCTAGTAGGTAGAAAGGCAGAGAAGAAAAACAATTTTCTTAGAGTGACGGTCAACAAATGCGGTACGCCGCTTAATTGGATTGCGCGAAAGCGAGCAAGCGAACGATAAACGAGGCTCGGCTTTGCGCTCGATTGCTCGCTTTGGTTTGACGATCGTACCGCATCACAAGATTGCTTGGTTAATCTTTGATTACCCCAACGATTTTTAATGGATTTGCCTATATTGCTTCTATTTAAAATCTGTCACTGGGTTATGGTGTGTTACATTAACGAGTCATTGCAGATGTTTTGTCATGCAATTAAAATAGTAGAAAGTGATAGTTTTATGGAATTAAAAACTCGTTGCATCTACATATAAATCTGAATAAAGCAGACTCACATAAGTTTCCGTATAGCAGCATTTTTAGTCAAAGAAACGAAATAAAGACATATTCGTTAGATTTTGTTTCATTAATTTTGTCATTGATTTGGTCTTACCTTCTGATAAACTTTTTATTACAATCTGATTTCTTTCAATCTATTTCGTAATTTATTGATGAAAATCATTTTTTACTATCTGATTAACTTCGTAATAATCAATTTTTCAATGCTTGAGTACTTGAGAAAGCTAATGATTCAAAACTCGTCGACAATGCTGGATGTGAATTTCGACGAAAAAATGCATCGATAAATCAATATTAACTATACATTTCCATAATTATCAGATTCCAGTGAATGAAATTGGAATTCGGTGCAAGTCGAAGGTTGTCCAACGCGCGAACTTTGGTCTGGTCGCGCATAAAACAGAGTAGGTATCAGCGAGAGGCGGCTGCTTCTATCGCGCCACATATAATCCGAAAGTTCGTCTAGTCGTCGTTGGGGCAAAGACCCGAAACCGAGTAGAGGAAGCGGTAATAATGAAAACAGGTCACGCTCGCTCCCCGAACTGGGCGAATGCCAATGCTAACCACTGACTACTCCCTCTCTATATCTGCCTGTATGTCGGGCTTCGCTTTCAAATTATTCCCGGCAGAGCTGCACAAAAAAATAATTAACAGAGAATTTCGCGAATTAAAGCTCGTCTTTTATTTGTTTCTTTTGCTTTTCTTTTGACGAGATTTTTGCGTGATCAGAGCCGAAACAAATAACGCGCTTTTGTTGTTACTTGTGACAAGTTTTTTTTGGTCTCCGCGTCGAAATGAGAATTACTAGGCGAGAAATTGTTGCGTGGATATTGTAACGTTTGCCCGGTTGGTTTGTGAATTTTCCGTTGGTTTCCTCTCTCCGTTGCTTTTGTTCCCGTCGCATTGGCTGGAAAAATGCGCGCTGCTCTTTCCTTTTTTGCTTTTGGTTTTTGTTTCGCTTCACTATGGCACGGCATGGCGAATAATCAGAACGGTATTATACAGGTCGGAGCTTGATTTTTTTCACGTGATATATCGCTTTAACTCTCGCGAGTGCTTCCGCGATACGTTGCGGCGTTTCGTTGTCGCCGCCGCCGCATGCGCAGTGAATTAAGCTCAGCCTCAACTACGTATACATGCAGCTCGGTTTTTTTTCGACAAATATCACAGGTTAACGCACAAAAGAATTTTCTCCTTTCTGGATTAAAATGTAGAATTCCTTCTCTGGTGCATGCATAATAACGCCATCCATGTACGTGTAGCGCTGTTACGAAAAAGCTAACAGCGATAGATATGAAAAATTTGGAAAACCCATTTGCCAAGCAAACGAGGTTGGCCGTGAGAGAGTGTGAGGGGGGGGGGGGGAATTCGGCGGACGGATATGAAATTTTAGCCGCTACTGAAGAGGGAGGGGAGGCGCGGCATCGATAAGTTATTTCAGCATAGTGCACGTCCGCCCCGTATTTCAGCAGAATTTCACGAGAGTACCGCAACTACGCGCAACGTCGGCTCTTTTCAACCACCTGTTCACGTTCTCTTTCTCTCTTTCGCCGCGCGGGGATGCATATTTTTTCTTTTCTTTCTCTTTCTTCGTCGAAGAATGCAAGTCTCGTTTTTACTCCTCCTCTTCGCACGCGAAGAAAAAGAGTGCTAAAAAAAGAGGGAGGCTTCATTTCTGGGGTTGCGGAAGACTGAAATGCTCGCACTCGCGAATGCCAGTTTTATATAGAGAGAGGTGATATTGTTGCCAGCGAAAACGCGCGCTCTAGCTTCCGTCGGGCTTTTGTGAATGGGACGATATTTTTCTATACATTTGCTTATGCGCAAATCGCAATTCTCGCTAAAATGTGGGAAGATTTTGTCTGTAGCTTTGCAATTTGTTTCGATCATTGGAAATCTAATTTTAATACAACGGAAATGTCAAGTTATTTGTTGCATGACATTTTCAAATGTAACGTCAATGAAATACGCAATTATTGATAGCGACAAATTTACAAAATCAAATGAACTTGAAATCTTCAATCGAATTATTTGTTTGTTAATTTTTTAAAAATATCTTATTTTTTGTCTATCTATTTTCATTGAGCATAACATATCTTAAAGATTGTATACCATCTTCTATCCGTAATTTATAAGCAAAACGACAGAATATTCGAAAAAACTTACGTCAACAACTTGCATGAATAAAATGGTTAACTCTTCTATCCGACAGGGTAGATATTATAAAAAAGGGGAAAATATGATGCTTTCCAGGAATGGCTAGCAATAGCTGCGCGTGAAAAAAAATGCGTAATCGCTTCAACATCAGCATTTGGAGTAAAACGCTCTGCTTTTAGTGCGCGACGCATTCATAGAAATAATGGCGTTCTTAAGTTGCTCGCGAAATTTATCCCTTCATTCTCTATCCTCATGGAGAAATGTTTTTGAATACCCGAATCATCGCTATTCGCTGCCTCGCTCAAATTATTCGCTTTAAAAGGTTTCTCACTACGTACACCGTTGTCGACGAGCTAATGTATCAAGCTTCCTATTCTCAATTTAAATATTCAAAATTTAACATCCCAATTCCATTATAGCAATGCATTTATGTATGTATATGTACATATTCGATATACAGGTATTATTCATAAAAAACGTCTGATTAGATGTATATGGACTGAGTCTACGTTGATTTTTGATATTAGGAAAACGTTAAAGTATTTAGATATCCTTCTGAAGAAAAACTTGAGAATCCGAGGTGAAATGATGAGATAGTAGCAATTTTGCCGTTAGAAAAAATTGTTCCTCAACAAAATAAAATAGTTTTCCTAAAGATCATGGAAAGGCCGTATATGCGAGACAAAAAAAAAAGAGTGAACGAGAGAAGTGAAGAAATCCTCGCAATGACGAAGGAATCGAGTAAGCGTGTGCATGTGCGAGTGGGAAGAAGAGGCGTGTTGCGCGCGCGAACGAGGACAATAGTCGACGGCGGTGGCGGAGCACGCGCGTACGGGCGGCTTTTAGGGGGTGTAGAGAGAGAGAGTGAGAGAGAGACAGAGAGAGTTAGCCGGCTCGTAGCTGGTAACTGTAGAGGGGCGACGGCCTGTCAGTCGGGCTGCGGCAGCGCATCAGTTCGCTGTCTCGGCGCGCGTTGGCCAAGCCTTCGAGTAAGAGCGAGAGGAACAAATAAAGAAAGCAAGGTGTTGTGTGTGTTACATATGTGGTGATATGATATGGCGCAATCGACGTGGCGAACGGCCGGCGCGAGGGTAGTGCGCATGCCAGTGGTGTGTCCAGTGCGATGAGCCCGATTCACCTGCTCGCTATTGTCCTACTGCTAGGAGGCGATGGCCTCGATGCTCACAAGGTCGACGAGCCAAGTAAGTTACGCACGCTAAAAAAATGGAAACATCTTTCATCTTCTTTCATGATGGATGTTTGAAAAAGTGCAGGGACGATAAGGATTTAATGTTTCATCATTCGAGGATTTTCATTTAAAATTTTACGGTGTCACCTAATGCTTTTGATGACCTGTCGTGTACGTTGAATTCGCGGAAAGTACTGATTGGCACTGTGCCAAGTCTTAAAAAAAAATGTTGGAAGATCAAGTTTTTTTTTCTGAGAAGACATAATATGGCTTTTTTTTTATATCGGGAAACTTTTATGAAGAATTGAATAAATTTCATCTTCGTGCTTCGATTGGCTTCTGCTTTTTTCAGCATAAAAATGTACATATTTGCAACGCGATCTGGATAAAATCTCTACTACATGTTACGTTGAATTTTTCTTAAGTTAAATTGATACTTGCCGAAATATTTACTCTTTTTAAATAAATCATAAATCACATCGTCCGTTCAGTTTTTATTCAATTTTTCCTCGCTACTCGTGTTAATTTGCTCACTAATAATTAATTAAGACAAATTCGGTGGGACGCATTTCGTATCACTGTACTAGACGTGGGGGTAATAGCTGGCCAGAAAAGGATAATCAACCAATTCAATAAAATTTCAACTGTTTTATCCGATACGTCAAATAATAAAAATATTCATGAATCATTTCATAATTTTCGATTAAACAAAACAATTTTCAAAATCACCCTTTATATAAGTTCTTTCTAATGCGGATGCATTTTCATTTTTCATTTATATAGTGTAGTCAGAATGAACTATTAATTTTTCAGTTAAATTAACAACTAGATGATATTATATTATAATCTGTTCTTCGTATTATCATTAATATTAATAAAAATGCAAGAGATAAATATTTGTATTACATAAAATAATCTATTCATGTGGATTACATGTGTGTGTGTGTGTGTGTGTGTGTGTGTGTGTGTGTGTGTGTGTGTGTGTGTGTGTGTGTGTGTGTGTGTGTGTGTGTGTGTGTGTGTGTGTGTGTGTGTGTGTGTGTGTATATATATATATAACGTAAAGTGGTGGATCGTTGAGTAAACGTAATGAAATTTCGTTCATTTGATAATTATTTTTTATCGTGGATCTTTCCTAGATATTTGAAGATACTAAACATAAATTAATTCCAGATCTTTTACATAAAATTTTATATATTAAAATTTCAGAAACTAATATAATGTCAAGATTTTTTTAACATATCTAAAAAAAGAGTAAAATTTCACGTTTTTACGTGCTGATTTTCTTTCAAAATTTGGTTTTATAATAAGCAAACTAAACTCATTTATTGATAACTTATTTATAAGAAAAGACAGAAGAGAGGAAAGAAGAAATCTATCGTAGTAATCATTTCAAACAAAAATTAATTAACAGTTGTAAAAACAGGAGTACTGTATGGAAGCGATAAGTTACCTTGCGTGCGATTGATTCAATACATAGGTAGGTTTACTTGGCCCATTCATTTACACTTTGGTGATACTTGTCACCAAATATAATAGTTGATTAAATGGACGTTGAGGGTGCTGAATTATGTCTTGGCAGGGAGGGGGGTGGGGTCCGACTCAAATACAGACGTCATCGCGGAAGCATGTGCCAGTGACAAGTGAGTAGCTACGATTATCTCTCAACGCAAACATACAAACGACGTGCACGATCACATACACACACACACACACACACACCTAAGAGTTTCTTTTCCCAAGGATTACGTCAAGATTGTCCACAAACGTAATGTAATGACGTCAAATACTCACTGCGTCGCTGGTCTGTTTCATCGTGTTCTAACTTTATTAAGATAGCTTAGACCGTTGTTTATTTTTTCATTACGAGAGCGGTCCAAACTTGGACGGTAGCAAATTTCATCAATGGAGTTGTGTGCTGAGGCTTTTCGGATAACTTTTTTCTTAATTAAACGAAATTACGTATAGCGGAACAATTACTTCAATATTTGTCGAATAAATTATTTTTCTCAGTCAACTAATTCACCACACGCTATTACTTGAAAAACTATGCGAACGTAAAAAAAAACGCCATGAGAAATCTCTTTGTAGTAGTAATATCAGGATATGGAATGCCGAGAAATTATTTCAATGAACACATTTAGTACCCCAAAATAATACACGCAGTCAATATTCACAGAGCAAGTAGGAAATGAGACGGCATTGAAAGTAAGTCAGCAAGAAGATACGCATACCTGCAGTCTAATTAGCCCAAGTATCAAAAGGAGCAGCAAAGTGCCGCGCTATACGGCTTCATTCACTTTGGAGCATTGTATACATATATACTTTATCGTTGAAGCTCTTTGTTGATGCTCATTTCGATTGGCGTGTCGTTGCCTTTGTAAGTTGTAATTCATAATATGGAATATACGTATAGCGTAGTTGGTATGTATGGCGAAATCGTATATTGACGCACTCTTGAAATATAGCGCAAATTTCGGACAAGCTTTGTTCTGCGCGCGCGCGCGCGTGTGTGTGTGCGTCAGTCGGTATTTCGTAATTAAACTGGGCAACCGAGATTCGAAATTCAATGCTCATATTATAGCCGAAGTTAAAGTGAAGCACTCAAATGCGGTAAAAGTAATTAGCACCGTGGAGTTTGATTATTTCGTGACTATAGTGGCTCGTATGTAAAATGATTTTTCTAATGATAACGCGTGTGCCTCGCAACGGTAGAAAGTAAACGCTAGTACGAAAAATTCAGATTTAATTGAGTCGATAATGCGAGACGAGATGCTAATGAAGCAGCCAAAGAAATAAAAGAGAGATAGAGCAAAACGAAAAAGAAGAAAAAGAACGAACGTTTTATTCTGAAGCAGAGAACTTTGTTACGCCCAATTATAATGCTAAATTACTGTTTCTTTTTCTGATTTCTTTATTCGTTACGAAAACCGCTTGATGGCACTTTACAATTATTCAAATGATAACTTCATTGGTTTCATTTTTTTTCTTTCTTCATTTTTGTTCATATTGACTTTTAAAATCTTAAAAAGTGTAGGAATACTTGAATATTTAATGCATAGAGTTTTTTTTCTAATATTAATTCTCGCCAATCGTCGAGAATATTTCACGTAAATATTTAATGACATCTTTTAATATCACGAATAGTAATGACATTAATAGTTGAAGACTTCATGAACTACTAAATTGAACAAAAATAACGATCGAAAACATTATGTGAGTGGACGATAATGGATTTTTCAACTAAAACACTAAAATGTTGTAACAAAAAGGCACGTCTTCGTGTTTTGCCATCGATTCTTTATGGGGGGAAGGGGGGGGGATAAGAGAGGTATTCTCGTTCTCAGTCATCGAAGGAGAGAAAAGAGGATAGGTCAACAAAATAATTAACACACCGTTTATATTCAGAACTCACAATCTTATTTCTAATCCGCAACAAAATTAATGAACGGACATAACAGTATATATATCTCACCGCTGAGAAAGAACAGAAATAAATGCATAACGATTTACAAACTACAATACCATCGACCGGAATAAATTAGGTGCGAACTGCCGGGCGGGTGAACGCCTTGGCAGCCTACTACCTGTCGTCCGCACTTAGCCTATCGAGCCGCTGCTCAGAATACAAACAAAATTTAGGTTGCCGGCAAGTGAACGCCTGGCTACCGAGAGTTACCGGACTTAAACCTAGCATGATCGCAAGTCTGCCATGACGAGAAAGACTTTAGAAGAGAGAGAACAAGAAACTGACCTTCTTGTAGCTGGTTGACAGGGTGAAGTAGGCGGTCTAGCGAAATTGCGTTGGTGGTGCCTCTTCTTCCTTATCAGGTATGGAACAAAAAGAAAGCCAGCGGGCGTTCAAGATGCGTACCTCGCAACAACGGGCAGCCTCTTTTGTACGCACGGGCAGCCGGGAAAAAATTCTACGTGTGTTCTAAGCTTTTCGTAACCGTTAGTGGTCTAGTCTTAATTTTTTTACCTCACACCGTGGGGACTCACACTCTCATGTTGACCAGCTCGCGGTCACTCACTCACTCTCTCGCGGCTTCCCCACTTAGCCTACTTTTTAGGTGGCGTGCAACGCGGCTCAAAATCAGTCGAAACGTCGCACGTTTTCCTTGAACTGCCTATATTTTGCTCTTTTCCTCTCTCTTTCTCTCTACATCTTGCTATCGCCGCTGGAGCCCTTCGAGCGTCTTCGGCTGGCTGCTCCTCGACAATCGTCTACGCTGAAACAGAGAGACCAACAGTTAGGCGCAGTCTTATTGTGCACCCAACGCTGGCCAGCATGCCTTACCAAGAGTAGAGGAAAGAAGCAGAGTGGATGACGAGAAGCAGGCTTACAGCTTGCCTCGTCACAATATTTTTTATTATTACCGTGACGACGCTTGAAATGACAAAAAAAAAATAATTTTTCGTGCATTACTACGTAAGCTAATATTTTTATAGAGAACGTGATAATTTTAAACCGAAAAGGCAAATTCGAAAAGAGTTACCTTCGAGGAATAAAAGGGTCAGCCACGTCGGAAAAAGTCTATGATATCGCGTGCAAAAGGGGCAGCCTCAGTTGGCGCAAGTGTGGTGCATCAACGAATTTCCGCATGTCTCGTCGACGGGTGAACTATGCTTTGCGGATGAAATTCGGATTAACGCGTCCGACGTCTAGAATGGCGTCGCGCGTTGCGTGTACTCTCTGGTACACGATATATCTACATGTCGACGTTGGCGGGTTGGTGGCTTGCGAATTGACGTAGTCGTCGGCCATGTGCTTCAAGACAATGCTTTGCAAATAGGTCAGCTTTGCAACTCGCTCGAGACATCTGCTGAAATTTACGAATGTACTTCCGTGCCTGACATTGCAAATTACAAGCTGGCTTGGAATACTTTCTTTTATGCGACACCTTATGCTCGACACTTTGTAAAGTGTGCATCTGACTATATCCTGATAGTTCTACTACAAAGAGATTTCTCATGACGTTTGTTTTTATGTTTGCATATTTATTCAAGTAA